GAGTTCGCATCGCACGCATCCATCGCAGATCGCGTCGCATCGCGTGTCGCATCGCAAAAAAGCTTCTGTGAATCCCGCTTTATGCTCGAATCCATAGTCTGTTTAGGGCGCGTTTGGTTGGTACGAACTAGAACAGGATTCACCAGAACAGCGCGTTTGGTTGGGACTGCACCTGTTCTGGGTCGGCCAGAACATGTTCTGCTTGCTCCGGCCTCGAGGCCGGAGCAGACCGAGCAGTTTCACTTTTTCACAGTGAAACCTGGCGGGAACATCGATTTTGGTCCCAAATGATCACGTGCATACGCTTTTGGGTTGGACTCGTTGTACCGTACAAAGTGACCATGGTGACCCATACACATTTTCTAGTTTCACACATTTTTCCACGAAAATGTGCTCTGTTTCTGGAGTACCGTTTGGTTGGCATGAGGCTGCTCCATGTGCACCAGCTGTTCGATCCTGTTCTAGATCGTACCAACCAAACGCACCCTTAGTCTGTACCAGGGAGTCGTAAAAAGTATTTTACGACTCCCTGGTCTGTACACGATTTGTACGCAACTTCTCATTGTTTTTTTTGTTTTTGTTTTTTTTACCAAGCGTGGGCCATCCCCTGATCATAGGTGCCAAAGACTATGTTTACGACACTCACAACCAGGGAGTAGTACGTATGATTTACTGCACGAGTACAAACGAGTACAAGGGCAATACCGGCTGATACATGACCGAACGGCGCCAGCCGTGAGGTCATGTATCAAGCCGGTATTGCCCGTGTACGAGTGCGTACGAGGCGCAGTAAATCATTTATTGCATGCTTGACCCAAACATTCCAGAAAATGGAGAGAAACCTTTCCGACTTTCTCAGTCTCCCGACACACTTGTTCAGTGGTAAACGTCGTTTGTGGTTTTGAAATTCTCTATTTCTTTACGATATCGATGGTGTTGTTGTTCGTGATTGAGCACTGCGTGTAGGAAGTCCTGGAACAGGAACTGAAACTGGGATGGGCCGAGTCCACAACTTCGTCTCGAACGCATTCAGTTCGTCAAGTTCGTCGGCTGCTCACCAACGCATCGATATCGATGTCAAGGTTGCATTCACCTGCTGAGGCGGCTGGTTCAGGTGGCTGGAACAAGTAAGTTATTGTCAGCTCAGTTACATGCGCGCGCGTGTGGTCTGTCGTTCTCGTGCTTTGTAGTTTGTAGTCAGATCAAGTTAGTTGCTGTTTTGTGTTTCAAATTTAATTTGAAACTCCGAACTGTAGCAACTTGATCTGATCACGAACCACAAAGTACAAGAATGACAGTCCGCATGCGCGTACATGTAACTGAGCGGGCAATAACTTGCCGGGCAATACCGAGAAATACAGACCGCTGAGCAAGAGCGCTCATTGGCTGTAGTACAGGCAACCCTCACGTGACATGCAGTAAAATATACTATATTGTACTACTCCCTGCTCACAACCAAACCGAACCCGGCCTGAACCGAGAGACCGTGAATGGCACTACTCAAGATCTGGTCGAGGAACTACTGAACCAGAAGGGAAGGGAAAACAACGTACTATTGCACGGCGTGGCGGAATGTCAGGGAGAGGACCTCCCCTCACTCGTACGAGCCCTTGTCCCGTCAAACACTCTGATCCAAGAGGTGCTACGTATTGGAAAGCCAAGAGAGGACACAAACGTACGCCCCAGACCAGTCCTCATTAAAACAAACAAATCTGGAAAAGCCTCTCTCCTGAGGAATAAAATGACGCTCCGCCACAATGGTCAACCGGTTTACGTTAGCCACGACCTAACTCCCTCTCAACAGGCACGAAGGAGACAGGTACTCCCCACATTTAAACAATTGCGAGGGCTTGGCACTGCTTGTTCCCTTCCCTACGACAAAATTTTGGTACAAGGGAAACCACTGGATGACGCTGAAATGTGAATTGGCGAGGTTACTTCAGGACAAGCCTGCACAATGACGAGTCCCCGCACAACAGAATACTATTGTCACCAACGCATGCAGCACTCCCCAGAGCATCTCTACCTCTACGCCACAGATAAGTATCACTCATTCAAATGCATGCAATACATTATTACTCTTTAATCTTACTATAGCACATATTAATATCTGCAGCCTATTGAATAAGCTTAGGGACATTCACTATCTTCTGCACAAACACAACATTGATATCCTTGCTGTTGTTGTTGTTGTTTATTTATTTTACATCGCATGGCAAACGGGCAGTTCTGCCCAATATTATGAAAGCGATGACAACCAGTAAGAAGAGTCAGAAATGAAGAGAAAATAAATGAAAATAAAAATACGAAAACGGAAGTAGCAATGAGGGGAGGCAGGGTCAAGACGAGCAGAAAAAATGGATCTCAAATTTACAAGTCGGGTCATCGTAGCATGATTCTATCGAGTCTCATCAGCAGGTTACGAAAGCCATTACATTTAACCGAAGTAGAATACGCGTAGCATGCGTTTGAATTCACGGACAGATACTATGGACTTCATGCAGTCGGGCAGGCCATTCCAGAGTCGGCAGCTGGCTAGAAGCAGTCGGCATGCGCCAGAAGCACTGTGGGCCAGGGGGAGGTTGCGTCCCAATTGACCTCGAGTGGTCATGCCTGTCGGCGGGCCTTTGTTACGGAGACATGACTGACAGCCACCTCGACAAACAGTGCCATCTTTCTACCAGGCTACGACGTCCACAGATTTGACAGGACAAGCAAAAAAGGAGGCGGCGTTTGCTTGTACATCAGAAATAAGTTAAAGTACCGTCAACTAAGAACAATATTTGACATTGAAACTGCAGCAATTCACCTGCGGTTGGATGGAAATCCACTGAATATCATCTGTACATATCGACCACCCTCAACACCAGTGTCGTTTTGGCAAAAACTCACCAACACTGTTGATGACATCGCAGCACAGACACCAAAATCGTCCCACACCATTGTTCTTGGTGACTTCAATGTGAACATACGAGACACTCAGCATCCTCACCACAAGCACCTGCAGACATTCTGCCACACAACCAGTCTCCATAACATAGTGACATCGCCGACTAGACTTCCTACTGAATCCATCTTAGACTTAGTACTAGTGTAGTATCCCTGCCCGACCAATACGGAAGTAGTACGGAACTAATACGGAGCTTTGCCTGATAGTGTATCTCCGTATGTAAGCGTACGGCGTCTGCTGCATAAAAGCTGCTGCGCATTTTTGTATAGATGAGATTTTGATAATAACGAGCTATTCAACCTCCAGGTGTGCACCGGAGAGAAACTCATTTTATTTGCCGCTTCTTCTTTAACTTCTAATATATCCTAGGTGTGTACCTAAGAGAATAATAATAAAAGATAACTCGTGTTAATTGCACCGCGCCTACCACTCGGCTACCTGTTACACTAGTACCCAAGACATTCGACAACACCCACCTATCTCAGACGGCAGCGAGTGGTAACACGCACGTCCAGAGGTGAACTGTACGAAGCTCACAGGGGAGTTCCTCAGAGAGCCACCCTCGGACCTGTGCTCTTTAACCTATCTGTACGCAAATTGCCCTCGGCAGCATCTTCCAGTATGGTGCGCCAGTACGCCGACGATCGATGTTGCCCTGTACCTAGCAGGCCACAACCTACAACAAACTACCGAAGAACTGGCCCGAGATGTGTGCCGTATCAGGGACTTCCTCAGTGAACGAGGACTAACCCTGAATGCCAGCAAGACCCAGTTCATTGTGTTCCACTCCAGATCGAAAAAAGTATGCTCCTCCCACCGACTAACCATTGACACTAGAGAGGTTCAGTGACTCGTTTTTCATGAACGAAACGAATGCTGACACCCGGTCCAGGTTAGAGTCTCGTTGACATCTCGTTCAGAAGACTCGTTTTTACGAATCCGGCCTGTCTGATTCGTGTGCAGCTCCGAGATCGATCTGCCCCAGACAGTGTGAAAACGTTTTGACTTTTTGAAATGTTTTCATCTTTGTTGATTATCGATTCTTTCGTTTTCACTTTCGTTGTGTTTGGTAAGAATTTTTCCTTTCCTTTTCCGCAATGTCAAGTGAAATGCCGGCTTCCCAACGTCCCCCTCCACCCCCGTGTCTCCCTCTGGAGCAACTCCTGTAGAATGCAGAAGAATTCGGAAATTTGGAGTCTTAGATGACATCAAGTTGCTGAATTTGATCTTGTCCTCCGGACATGAAAACGTCTTTGCCTTACCGCAAGGGAACAACACTTGGCAGGACATCGGCAACGCCCTGTCACGGTCGGAACAGTTAGTTCTTGATGATGTGCTGACATGACGTTCGAACGTTCGCGCGTTTGTACTGCAAAAGTCTTTGCGCGAAGAAATTTTGCAGAAAGATCTTTCAAATTTTCTCTCTGCCATATTTACCATAGCAATCATGATGCGACTCGCTGTCTTCTCGTGCACGAGTCACTGAACGTATTTTGGGCACTGCACGAGCCGAATACCAAACGAAATCGAGACATTAGAGAGGTTCAGTGATTCGTTGTCAACTCGTAAACGAAACGAGATCGATTTCGTTTGTAAGTCGCACCACCATGCAGTCGACCGGATGATGGTGAGTGTCCGGCACACATCTTGCTCTGCTGCTCCACCTGCGCATACCTGATACGGTGGTGCGCTTACGGGCGGGCTGCCTGGGCCCCAGATGCCTCCTTGATGCGCCACGGAGTGCCGTCGAAGCACCTGTATCACTTCGGTGATCCAAATGCGAATGCAGCCTTGCCGGTCGCCCGCCGGCCTGCCGCCTACGCGACCAGCCTGAGACTGGCCCTGCCGCATTTGGCGCTTCTAAACGCTGCGATCCGGTAGACAGCTCACTGGGCTGCCAAATACGTGCTTGAGGACAGTTCCATACTGGGCAGGGCGCCCAGCTCAGGTCGCACGCCGTAGCGGCGTGAGCTGGGCGCGGTGAGGGTTGGTGATAACTACAGTTTCCTCCTTCCTCCTCCGGAAACTTACTTCCATTATTGGCACATGGTGCAGGGTAAGATAATTGTACACATTCGCCATTTTATAGTGTGGTTTGGTCTGGTGTGCCATTACAGTTGCGTTTACTTGTAAGCGTTTCTTGTATGGACTCTCAGTCATATCTACACATTTGTAGCTATGTAGGGGCTCTTCTCCGATCTTTGCACTAGATTTCAATGTTCGCAACTGCACTTCCAACTTCCAAGTGGTTCAGAATCTTACAAAATATCATGAGCTCCCTTGGTCGATAACCCCTTTCCTCTTTATCGGGCTGCTCATTACTTTTATCCTCGCGGTAGTCGGTGACAGTCGATGCTGCACGGCTTCGAGAATAGGCAGGAGAAGTGTGAATTTGGAATGACAGCTACGAAGCGGAGGAGACGGCGAATGTTCAAAGTTTACTAGAACGCGCAACTACTTACTTCTAGCACTGCTCGACGGTCACCGGTGAGCTGACGGCTGTTCGCACAATTTGGATGCGGGGCAGTTTCGGAAAATTAAAATACCTAGTGTAGGGAAGCAGTGCTGTACGTGGCTGACGGCAACAGAAATGGCAATGCGACACGCTAGCTCCGCGGCTCTTGTCTTGGTCGCAATGTATATCCTGGCACTCAATCTACTGTCGCGTATCCCCCCAGGTGCTGAAGCCCAGGCGAGCAGTAAGTACTTGTATTTCGGGAATTTTAGGTGCTCAAAACTGTTACGCATCAGGGCAAAATTCCAGGCCAGGTGAACAGAAATAATTTGAGGAACAGAGAAGCAATTCCCTATTGGATTACATGCATGTGGATCAATGTTTGTGAGGCTATCGAAAATGGAATTCTAAGTATGAAAGAGATGCACCGAAAGCACCGAAAAATGAAAGAACACTGAGAATTTGTTAAACTACCGTGTATGAATACAAAAGTCATGTATTTGTGTATTTGCAGTGGATAGCTCGTGAGATATACGCAAATTATGCTGCAGTGGAGAGATGTACCGTACTGGCAATATATGTTGCCGCGTAATGCGTAACGCAGGGGGGTGCGGCGTAACGCGCGACCAGGCTAGTGCGACAAATTTTCGTTGAGTTCGTAACGCGCGTCCGGTGGGGTGCGGTGATCTTTTCATTGCAGTTTGCCCTGCAAAAAAAGGCTTAAAACTGTGAAAGCACGTGTACCGCGTGGTGAAAAGTTCAAAACTGGACGCAGCAGGAAGTACTGACACTCGAAGGCGCATCATTCAGTGGTTGGCGATCTCAATGGTTTCTTCTTTCCCGAGGTCGTTTTGTGAAGAAGAGCGATGTGTTTACCAGTTTCCTTGTCACAATGCAGAAGTCTCTATTCGCCTTCGGGCGTGAAGAAAATCACGCCCAAGCATCATTCAGTGGTTGGCGATCTCAATGGTTTCTTCTTTCCCGAGGTCGTTTTGCGAAGAAGAGCGATGTGTTTACCAGTTTCCTTGTGACAATGCAGAAGTCGGGTTTGTAACAGTTGGATAGCAACTGAATTTCTGTGCCTTCGATGTGGATGAAAAGAAAAAATGATGCGGCAAAAGCAAAAAAATGATGCGGCAATAGCAAAAAAGTGATGCGGCAATAGCAAAAAAAGGACTGCGGCAATATAGAAACCTGTGTAACGGCTCCTGTGCGACTTTGCATGTAACGCCCTGCGTGCGGCAAACATGTGCCAATGTAACGCTTCATGGCCTCACTGCGGCAACATATATTGCCAGTACGGTACTAATTAGTGGTCAAACGGGTACACTAGAAGCTATCGTGCGGCCCCTGGCATTCTGGGGTCGGGTTTTGGGTACCCTATAAGCCGCTCATGCATTACAACACAATCACACCGCTCACCTAACCTAGACCGTGCAATATGCTCAGCGGACTGACACATTGTGAGAAATGTACCTGGCGAGTCATCATGCAGTGTGGCTAGTATGTCACAAGCCAGTGCACAGAATCAGATGCTGTGCACTGGCTCTCACTGACTCCGTGCATTTTGAATGAAAATTAATATCTACCAAGAGAAAAACAAGAGCTTCATGTAACACACCTGCTACGTGTGCATATAACACAAGTACTGAAGTAGAACAAGAGTTGAAAAAGGGGTAGTGGTCGCATTCTCTTGGTTCAGGGAGCCCTACGCACACCATGCATGTACTGCTCGCATTTTTCTTGTCAAAAATGGAAATGCGTAACCTTTCCACGATTCCTTTTGAATCTCTCTCTCTCTTTCTCTCTTCTTCAGGAGCGAACCATGTGATCAGTTTTGGCAGTTAGTGATACAAGTGTGTGTATGTGTGTGTGTGTGTGTGTGTGTGTGTGTGTGTGTGTGTGCGTGTGTGCGCGTGTGCGTGTGTCAACCTGTCGGAAGGCTGCTTTCTTGCCAAGGCATTTGGAAGTTGGACTAGTTTCGGCTCCACAATCCAGTGTGTCGTTACAATTATTATTATTATACGCTTGTTCGCGTTGACATCACCAAGCAAGCTTGGCTAGTCTTCACATAAGCCAAATGAACAAAAGAAATGAGGAACGAGCGAGGCCAATGAGGTGAACACACGCATGCAACCGCAGAATAGTCAAAAGGAATATACATGTAATAAGACAGTCCTAAAAACATACGAACTGTCAACTATTTACTTGAACAAAATTAATAAAAGTGGAAACGGATGAATACTATAAGTATAGCTTTAATGGCTGAGGTTGTTGGTATGTCTGTTGGCTCTGGGTTCTCAGTACTCAGTAGCCGAGGCTGGTTGGTAAAGTAACTCCAATTTCACTTCAAGGTACCAGTACATCTAGTGTCTAGTGCTTCTATCAAAGCAGCGTGTTGTCTATACTGGTTACCCCAGCAAGTGTAGGGTGTGCATAGGTAACTGTCTTGGCCGTCCTATTCCAATGTACTCCGTGTGGTGTAGACCAGGTGTGCATTGGGGGGGTCGATTCACATGGCTTCGCCAGTTGTGTGGATTAGACAGTTATCTGGCGCTTGTCTTGACATGTCTCATTCAGATCTTGTCCGCTATCGTTGCTATAAGAGAAAATCTGTGGGTGCACATCCAGTGCACTTGCAGATTTGCGTGCTTCTCTTGTGACGGGCGTCTACATGGTACATGGTGTGTGTGTGTGTGTGTGTGTGTGTGTGTGTGTGTGTGTGTGTGTGTGTGTGTGTGTGTGTGTGTGTGTGTGTGTGTGTGTGTGCATGGGTGCATGTGTGCACTTTTGCGATCACTTATATTGCAGTTTGGGAACACTGTGCGAACAGTGCATATGAGTATCAGTACAATGACTTTTTGATGACATTCGACAGGGCTGTGGCGTTCTGCAAGACCAAGCTCGGCGGAGCGTACCTTGCCATCCCACGCAATGCTCTGGAAGATAAGTGCATATCCGACCATCACCCGCTCCGCACCAGATGGCTTGGCATCAGAAAACTGAACGGCATATGGACGGATATTAAAGCCAATGTAGAAGTTAACTACACCAACTGGGAAGTCGGCCAGCCCAATATGAACACTGCAGCTGAGGGCACTGAGCCTCAAGAGTGTGTGACACTGTGGTACTACCCTAAACAAAGTGCAAATGGAGACAAGTGGGATAATCTACAGTGTGATCATGCCAAACGTGTTGTCTGTCAAAGACAAGGTCAGTTCAGTGGAACCCGCTGGCACTTACAGGTCTAGTCAAGTTTAGACGAGCTGTAGCGTACTCAGCGTAATGCTTGCTTGCATATCTGAGTTCCCGATCAGTGATATTTGCTACTACAGTATAGTAATCTAAACTTACTTATTATCCTGACTTTAATCTAAACGGACGGCGAGGAGACAACTATTTTATTTATAAAAAGTAAAAAGGACCAAGGAACGACAAGTGGTGTTAGTGGACATTATAGTGTAACTTGTAGTTCCTTGGTCCTTTTTATAAATATTTCCTTGGCTCTCCATCCGAACTATTTTATTATTATTATTATTCTCAATTCATGGATGACATGGTGTCAACCAATATAATGAATGAGGGCTACCAGCCATGGGATAAAAGGAACAAGAAGGCAAAATGCACACGCAAAATATGGCAAGTTTGACAAAAAATAATAAAAGTAAATCAAACCAAAACCGAAATCAATTGTAAAGTTAGCAAATGTGATTTACGTTGGAGTTTGAAGTACCGTATTTTTCCGGTTGTAAGTCGACAGTTTACGACTAAAAATGGAAGGAGAAAGGGTGGGGGTCGACTTACAACCGGGATTCGATTTATAACCGGGAACTATCAGTATCTTACAAAAATGACCTGCACTGCATGCACGAGTGCACCATGTGTACACATTTTTACCAGTTTATTAGCCTTTTTTCAAGGATTGGGACGTTATACCCTCCAATAAGAAATGTTTACATGATCTGTTGATGTGTAAGTAGCAGGGAGTGGTTAGTAGTGCTTCGTTGGGTGAAAACTTTAAAAACCAGAATTGAGACCTCCGGATACGGTGGTCGACCTCTAACCGGGGTCGACTTACAACCGGTAAAACACGGTAATACACAGCGAAAATCGAAATCAACGATTAGTAAATGAAGATTGACGTCTTGCGGAATTCCGGTGAAAACGTGGGGGAGATGGCCATAAAGAATACCGACTACTGAGCTTGCCCGCTTTTCCAGATTCTGGAAATGGTGGGACCAGTCCAATTTGCTATCAAGTGTAACGCCAAGGTGCTTGTGACGAGAGGTTATAGGTATCTGGGTAGGATCATCGGGGGAATGGAAAATAAAAGTTTGAAGATGTGCAACATCTGGTGACGCGTTGAGGACGACACACATGATCTCGGTCTTGGCGGAGTTCGACCGGAGTTTCCACCTTCGCATCCACTTGACCACACAGTCTATTCCTACCTGCAGGTCTTGGTACGCGACGGGGAGCGACCGGTGACTAGCCAGAAGAGTGGTGTCATCCGTATATAGCGAGGTGTTGGGAATCACACCGATATCGTTCGCGTACATTAGAAACAAATTTACAAACGCAATAAATAGGACAACCTGAATCGACATGGACACTTTATTCATGCAGTATCAAACGGTTAAAGCTAGATGCAATAGCAGTGATGAAAGTAAGAGCGAATAGCAAACAGTGCAATAAATGGATTCGAACAAGTTTTTGCACAACACTCACCAGAAGTCTCCGTTGTGCTGATGGACAAAACAACACAACGGAACTCTTGTGGGGAACAACACTTTTGTAAGACAGGTGACACATAATAACAGCACTGAAAACAACTGTGACTTGTAAGAATGAGAGTGAGAACAGCCAACGTGTGCGTACTAACTGCTAGAGTGCAAAGCCAAAAAGCAATATGATCATAATAATATTCACGTCCCCGGACTGGTTACCCCCCCCCCCCCCGAAAATTTAGTGCTGAAACGATTATATCGATTAGGCCTGGCATCTGGGCCTATTTTGAGCATAGACAGGAAAAGCAACTACAGCGTAGTTACTTGTTGGCGCGCCTCAAGTCAGCTCATCCGTCAAAATCCGACGATCTGCACCCCTGGCCGGCTTCTCTGACTTCATCGTCTGAGTCAGCGAAGTCACAGGCGAAGGGCACCATCAGCTCTTGGGTTGCAACCAGTGCGTCGCCTCTGTCTTTTCTGTATTCGTCTGGTCAGTCCGAACAGCTGACGGACTTGCTGCGGGATCATCGGATCTATGCGCCAGCTTTCCGTCGTTGGCTATGTTGGACTCGTAAAATTTTGAAATTCACGGCATGTACCGGTGATCGATGAGTTCTACACTTTTCAAATAACTTCAAACTATCGTAACTTGGTCAATTCTCAGTCGTTTGGAGAGAACGAAATAAGTAGGAAGGGGGACATGTACTGATGTAGTTACAATAATAATCGTTTAGCCGATAAGCCGATCGTTATGGTATCAGCTAAGCCACTAAGGAAAAAGCGTAATCGTTTCAGCACTACTTGAACTTGAAGTTTATCCCATTCCCATTTCAATTAATCACTCGCATTCTTTCACCTCTGCTAGTAATCGCATTCTTTCACCTCTGCTAGTAATCGCATTCTTTCACCGCTGCTAGTACGTTCCAGAAATTGACCGTGGTTGGTCCCCCGGGGTGAGGAAAAAGACCCAAGTGCCATCGGTACGTGTGGCACGTGTTGTGAGCTGCCTTTGCCTTGGAGTGAAGCTGAAAATGCTTGTCAGCGCCTCCTACACAGGGTATGTTCGGCCTGGTTCCATAGCTCAGATGGTTACAGCATTGCTCATGGCAAGCAAGGTCCTGGGTTCGAGTCCTGGTAGGGTCGGCATTTTTTTCTCGCTTTTCTGGCAGTTCACTTCCCCTGACTATTTATACTGTACCTTGAATAATAAAGGTTTGGAGACTCCACTGTAGCCAATACTTGAATCCATACATCCTGTACACACCTTGTACACACTCTCTCTAACGGTCTCTAGGCTACACTGCAATTGATATACATTAGATCAAATTGCCCGAAAATTTGATCTAATGTATATCAATTGCAGTGTAGCCTAGAGACCGTTAGAGAGAGTGTGTGCAAGGTGTGTGTACAGGATGTATGGATTCTTGAATAATAAAAATAAGAAGAAGAAGAAAAGAGGACCAAAGAGCTACAAGTTATGCCATATTATCCACTCTCTGGTCCTCTTTTCTTCTTATAAATTAATTTAAATCCTTGGCTCTCCATCCCGAGTCTAATAATACCGTAAAAGTCCGTAAATAAGCCCACCCTAAATACCGCCCATGTCCGATAATAAGCCCAGTTTTAGGCGGTTTACACTCCAAGTCCGTTTTAATGCCCATGCCTGAAATTAGCCCAGGGCGTAAAGTGGACTCAAAATGACCAGCGCGCGAGCGTGCGTTCGCGTACAAACTGTAGAACAGTTGCAGATCGAGTGCATGCCACCCAACTGCGCGCAGCACAGTGCAGAACTCAACACTGTCACGGCGCGCGAGGACAGCGATGTTCCGTTGGAATGTAGCAAACTGCCAAAAAATGTAGCAAAACATGTCGCGCTTACCTGTACGTAGTGGCTCGTAGTTACGACCAAATTTCCAGCTGTGGTTTGATGTACCTGTACCGCGCTCAGTGTGAATGGTGGTTCACTGAAACTAGTGGGTTGCTGATAGATTGATCTTCTGCAGATAGCGTCCGAAATAACGCCCATGCCCTAAAATAAGCCCATGCCCAAATATACGCCCGGTTTTTGACGCTCTGCAAAGTATACGCCCCGGGGCTTATTAACGGATTTTAAGGTAATAATAAGAGCAGTATATTACGCAGAAACTAGTGCTGGCTCATTTCTGAGAATGACCAGAAACAGCAAATTAAACTATTAAATCACCAAACTTGGCAAGACATATCATTGGCTAAGAAGAAGCCGATATGGCCAAGCCAGCATCAATCCTGACACCACAATAATAAACTTGACCTCAATTGACTTTGCCACCGTGCGAAAATAACTCCTTTGCCGTGGTGCTGATTTTGGCGTTCCACCATCATCTAACAAAAGGGAAGTTATCATGACCGAGTTCGAACTTTTTACCGAAAACTAGAACGTTTAAGCCAATGCCAGAGTCACCAAAAATATACGTGCAACTAAAATCTTTCTCATTTAAAAAAACCATGGACACATGACAGCCCTGCGGGATTTCCGTAAAAAAACACGGACATCATTATCACACGTCCTATTAAAGGCCGGGCTACGGTTCTGATGAATAGAACTGATTGCATTAGTAAGACTGTGTCGGACATCTTGAACGACAACCCGCAGTTCAAGATGATTGGCCCAGTCGAGAACTGAGAACTGTGATGGAACAGAAAAGGTGGAAAAAGAGAACAAGTAACATAAAACAATGTCAACTGGAAGAAGAAAAGCAAATCTCCTGCTGTGAATTTGGTCATAAAAAACCGACAGGCTCTATTTGCCCTAAGCTTTATGGTCTACCAAAACTCCACAAGCCCAGTTGTCCCGTTCGCCCCGCTGTGCCCATGGCAGCTTCACCACAGTATTCTACTTCAAAGTGCATGGTTGTGTACTTACTTACAGCCGGTACAAGACTACTATTGCAAACGCATCGTAAAGGATAGCTTCGATTTTTATTGAAAAGCTCCACAAGAAGCCGGTCCCACCTAACGCACACACACACGTTCATTTGACGCCGCTTGTCTATTTACTAATGTACCGATCGGGGAAACCACCGATATCTACATTGATGTCTTGTACCGTAACAAGAGATGTTGACACTCCGTGATTGTCTGAAATGGCGTGCAGGCGATTGCTGTTGCTGGTTACAACTGGAGTTGAGTTTTACGATTGCTGTTGCTGGTTACAACTGGTGTTGAGTTTTCGTTTAATAACAGTGTGATGTATAAACAGGTGGATGGTGTCGCAATGCCGCACATGAAACCGGATGGTGCCGCAGTGTCATGGAAGCAGTGAATGCCGAGTCAGATCTCGAGGAGGCCAAAGCAACTCGCTTGTGGTCCCACCTGCTAGCACTGCTCGTTCTGCTAAGCGCCAAACGCACGCTGGAGCCATTATGTGGAATAGATTGCCACCAGCAGCAAAATGTTCAAATAGGTATTTGGATTTCAAACCTCAAGCCTTGCAGTGTATATTATCAGCGACATAGGTTTTCCAATGCTCACTGGATTGATATCTGTTTATTGCAACCAACCTTCCGTTTTCTTTCCTTTCTCTTTTCTCTTATATCTTTTCCACAGTATCCTTTAGGGGTCGTCCGCAATTATCGAAAGTTTTTTCCAATCCGTAGTAGCTTCGAAAGTGGGTGGGTGGGTCAAGGCCAGTTACGGATTGAAAAACTTCCGAAATGACACGTGCACGTGCCACGTGTACGTCTACGTGTAGCCCCTGTTTTCCACGCGCGGCTGCGCGCGAACTGTCTACTACAAATATTTTTGTAGTTCTGGCAGTTTCTGCGCCCCCGCGCGCGCTTCCTTGGCTGCTCCTGGGCCGGGGATCATAAAGTTCGGCGCATTCGACGGCGAGTCGACACTTTCTATTTTTGAGTTTCACTGTCTCCTTCGTCCAGAGTACCGTCTTCCATGCACTCCTTTGAAGTCCTTCCGTCTAGCGCTGGCGCTGACGACTGTTATTGACTATGTCCAGACAGGCGACGTTGTTTGGAAAGGCGGTGAAGAAGCAGCCCTTTTTCAAAACCGCTGGTGACTCTGATTATTACAGAACAATAAATTGCTTGTGGCAGTTGTCCTCGAGCTCGAGCTGTATTATGATAGTGCTGCTTGAACATTTCGGTGAACACCAATTAAACATCAATATGGTAGTTGTAATACAATACATGATGTCACTATGACTCATGGACCAGCACTGATTGAGTTTGTTCCATATGTGTTGGGTTGTGTGTCCATCGATAATATTTTATTACGGACTGGGGGGGTGGGTGGGTGGGTGAGGAAAAATTTGAAGCTACTACGGATTGGAAAAAACTTTCGATAATTGCGGACGACCCCTTAACATTTTATTCACAGTGGGTCCAATGTTATTAGGCATTTTGCCTGTTTTAATTTCCACTATAAATAAAGTATACAACAACAACAACAAAGATGGAGCAGTTGGTGACGGGAGCGGTGAGTCGTTGGACAGTGGGGGAGGAGAGTGAGCAGGAGCCTGAGTTGTCGCGGGAGTCAGGGTGCTGTGTGTAAGTTTAGTTCAAGAAAGTCTTCGGTGTGTGATCATCTCGTATCCAGTCCTGATTGTTGCAGATCGTATTCTGATTCCTGTTTCACTGTACATCTAGCCGTGCTGGTCACTCCAACTAGCAACTAAGTTCATCATGTACATGTACATGTGTGGGACATGCTGCCAGCGCATGCATGCATGGAGCACCTGGCGACATACCCATTTGAAGTAATAAGAGATTACTCTGGCAAGAAATGATTAATGATAGATCTAAGCAGCCCCCCCCCCTCCCCCCCCCCTCCCCCCCCCCCTCCCCCCCCCCCCTTCCCGCTCCCTGTTCTCAGTGCTACATATGCACCTCTACCATGGCCATGACCATGGATTCAGGTGCTTTTGCAGGACAGCTACATTAAATAGCTGTCAAGAGCACAGAAAGTCGTTATTCAAGCACTGAATTTGACATCGGGGCACAAAAATCTTGTCGTTACTCGCGAATTGCCATTGCTCAGAAAGTCGTCATAAGTATCCGAAGTTAATTACTCTCGAAAGTGACTGTATTGCTGCTGCTTCTGCTGCTGCAGCTGCTGAATGGGTCGGTCACAACTTGACTGGATGTCCTTTGTCTCTCTATGATATTATTATACTGCCATAGGAAGATGTGCGGCACGTAGCAACAATAGTCTAGTCAACGGATACACAAGTCATTACAGTGTACTCTACCCTGGCAATATCACATACCAATGTAATCCGGGATACTACATCTCTGGACAGAGCAATCAGAGTATCACCAGTCACACATCACTATGTCTCATCAGTGGACACTGGTCTACTCCAGAGCCAACATGTATAGGTAAGCTACAGGAGTACTCCATAACAGATGCACTTTCACTGGATTACTTCATACTACCTGGCAGCGGATTTAAAACCATGTGGTGACTTAGCTCACAGAAAGTCCATCAAATTTGACTGCATACTTGCAAGCAGTAGTTTTCCTTTTTCTTTCGAAAAGGACAGGCGTTTGTATGCTACATACCCGGTCTCATATTCTGCAGCATTGTACTGGAATTACGGCCAGTCTAGATCATTCCGATGGTTCACTCCGATGACCCCATGATCGACTGGAAGTAGAATTAGGTGAGATCTATCATCCACTGGAATTGAAATCAGGCGAGATCGAACCAGTTTTGACTGGGTTCCTTTGTGGACCGTAGATTTAAAATCATTCGAATGATCGATCCATACCATTCCAAGCTATACATGGCTTCCATTTTTTGCTCTCACTCTTTCTTGTTTTTCTTCAGGTATAACATGTGTAGCTCCACCACCTGCCCTGGCAAATAGTTCCATATTGAGCCAAGAGCTGGTGTACCCTGGTATAGTGACATACCAATGTGATGTGGGCTATTATGTAGCTGGTTATGCTGAACGGAATGTCAGCAATGCAACAGTGCAATGTGCTCCCAATGGAACATGGATTGGAACCGCACCGACATGCCTACGTAAGTCAAGAGAAAGAAACTATTGGAAAGTGGTGAGCGATTGCTGCAGCGTCGTACGAATAGAAGCGGTGGAGAGCAGACCTGCTCTTTTCCAATCACACTGCAATCATCCTTCAAAAATGATAAGGGTAATTTTGCCGAAACGCTGTCACGAATAATAATAATAATAATAATACATCATACATACATACATACATACATACATACATACATACATACATACATACATACATACATACATACATACATACATACATACATACATAGTAAGAAGAAGAAGAACAGCTCGCATATTACTCAGAATTGAGCTCTACGCATCTGTGAGTGAAAAGGTTCCGTTCGTGTCTGCACTAATAACTGTACTAAGAAAAGGAGTTTGATGATTGCAGCCTACTTGTAATTGGGAAAGAGAAGGCATGCTTTACACCAATTTTATGTAGTTTTTTTAAAATGCATTTATAATGATTGTATTCTAGACCCTCCAGTAGGTTGTTTCCTAGTTGCATCAACACATTCTTTTACCCTGGTATAGAGAACTAACACTGGACCCACATTTTTTTCAGGAAACGCAATTTGTACCCGATGTTCCACTGCAGTGCGTTTCAAATAATAAGCAATCCTGGCGATCGCACGTCGAGTTTGCCACTTTCCATATGAGGTGCCTGGGAAAACGTGCCGTGAAATCGAAGAAGTATTCTGAACGAAAGAATGAAAAAAATGACATTGTAACTCCCTCTATCCACTACACGTCCAACTCGCAAACACGGCGTCTCTTTCCATGTCTGGCTTACAACAAACGAATCCCTTCCTCGATATGGAGTCACAGAGGACATTTCGAAAGGGTGGTGAACGCTGAAGTGCCACATAGATCTCGTTTCGTTTTGTGACCGTGGGCTGCGATGCAAGCTCCTCTCACCATGTGACGAAAACGGCATGTCATGCCATGCGAAATCACGCAGCTATGCAACATCCACAGAACCTGCTGGGAGAGTACATGCATACTCGAGTCTAATACTGAGCACACTTTTTTCAGCTCCAGTATACAAGTAAAGTGGAACTCACTGACGGCCCATTTACAATACAACTTTTTGCTAAGCGGCATGCAACTCTTCGACTCGCTGCGACCACAATACACGGTTCCCAATCTCTTTGGTGTTTGCGACATCGATATGCACTAGCAGTACTGCATTCGTATGCACATGCCGTGACTGCACATTCACACAGAGTAGAAACTGTACTTCATTTGTGTACGCCGCGCGTCGCATGTTGCAAAAGTTGAACTTCTTCAACTACTGCGACAGGTGCCTTGCGACTGTACGCGACAGCTTGCTACAGGCATTTTCTTGTCGCAACTGTCACAAGTCCCCGTATCGCGTCGCAAAAAGTGGTATTTAGTATGTAGCAGGGAGGGTATTTTCACGGCTCTCCGGTACGACCCGGGTAAGACGTACACCTGGTTGGTGCAGTCCTTTTTCTAGCCAACATCGCGTCTTGAAGATTTTTGATTGCCCTTTTCTGAAGTGTCTAATGTTAGCTATACTCGCAAGAAGAGGGAACATGAAAACAGAGACAATACTTGGCCATCACTATGTGGTCTGGATGATCGTAACGTTGTTATAGCGATTTGGAATATCGGAACACACCATCAAAGCCTGTTGTGCAAGAGTGTTGGTTGTTTTTGGATGTGTATCGATGCATGCTGCCCCACTGTACTACTCTTAAATCAATAATAGTATGGAAAGGCTGGATCAGGAATGCTGGTGCTGTGTTCTTGCTGTCTCTGCAGTATGGCCGGCAGTGGACTTCATTATCACTGCTTCCACCTCAAACATTTCATCATTTTCAACCAGTTACGTGCAAAAATTGACCAGCTTCTCTGCCGCAGACTCTGATCACCATCCAGGACGATGCACTGTAGGATGTGTTCAAAATGGCTACCTCTTTGGAGGAATGGCCAACAGCACCGAGTGCTATTGCACAAGTTTTGCTGTTTCTAAGCTGACGAAAGCAGCTGGACTCACATATGAGTGTACTGGTGCACCTTCATACCAGTGTGGTGGAAATAATTTGATTAGTTTCTATGCTCTAAGGGAAGGTAAGCAGTATCCACACTAATCGACTTCACACCATGGACTGATATTTCCAAGGTGGTTATTAACATTATCCGGACTCAGAGGCAAAGACCAGTTGGAGGAGGGGTGGGGTGGGGTGGGGTGGGGTGGGGAAGCTTAATTTAATCAAAATGTGTTTTAAAATGGTGTTGGCCTTTAGTAGGAGGGTTCAATACGTCTTGTACATTCATCAATCTCTTACCCCCAGTGGAACATGGCCCAAGTCACTATCTATTCATGCAATGATTTTGTGTACCACTCACACTTTTTATATGTATAATTATACATCATCAAGCGACACCTTCTGTGAAACGCCCTATCTACTAGGTAACATTCTTCCCATGTACGTGGAGGTGCTTGAATTTCATCATGTATTTAGGACAAGGAGAGAGTCTTCCGACGCCATACGACTTAGCACGTACATATACTTTCATGGATTCTTTCTCAGTAATGAATGTACTGACTTTTTTATCTTCTTGTGCTGTATCTTGATCTATATGAAGCACCCCCAGTCAAGGCACACATTGGATCTCGTACAGATAAAGCCATCCTCATCAATGGTACATTGTACACTTTGGCGGGAACTACGATCAATCTGGAGTGCACTGTGATAACAGGCACCACTCCACTCGTCTACACCTGGCGCAAAACCGGCTCTGATATGCTGCTCAGCAGCAGTAGTGTGCTTAGCAGGATTGTGACCAGCTCCGATAGTGGTGAGTATGTGTGTACAGTCAATAATCCACGTGTCGCCAAATCACCACACTTCACTCTGCCGCATAACGCATCTTTCAGAACTCAACTCATAGTGCAAGGTGAGTCATACAGGGTACTGAAGGGTCTGTTTCCTGTTGTTGATTTCATGCTGAGCTCTATATGGTTGAAACACAATGAAGCCATTGCCTGAAGCCAATTGAGCAATTTTCTGCATCCAATGTTGAACACATTCCTCCTGCGGATAACTTCAGAAGTGGCACCTTTCTTCTGTGAAATTGGGAAAGCTGTAATGTGCATCGAAAGAGAATGTGCTTCGTAAATAGAAAAGACCAATGGCGTCCACATTATTCGTAGCCGTCAACTTTATGTAACTAAATGTTCAATGCTGTAGACAGCAAGCTGTTTCAGGCATAAAGGCCTCATCAGTACAGCTACACGCTTTTTAATTAAGCAAGCCGAGCTACCAGCCGTGGTGCAAAGGAGGCGCCACAGACATTTTTTTTTAAAGATAGCTCGTCGCTCCAGCGCCAGAGTGCTCTAACTACGAAATACAGCTGGCAATGCGCAATGCAGCAGCACTAGAGCAGGCTACCGAGAGTGCTGCGTCAACAAGACTAATACCGAGGAGCGTAATACCCAATGCTGTAGACAGCTAGCTGTTTTGGCCATAAAGGCCTCATCAGTGCAGCTACGAGCTTTAACTAAATTTGTAACTAAATGTCCGTGTTTTCCCTCCACAGAGCCGATAGACCTATCAATCTCAAGCCCTATCTCTGAGGCTGTGGAAGGAACATCATTCAATGCAACATGCACCGCGAGTCACAGTGCTGGGGTCAGTTTTGTTTGGAAAAAAATTAATCCTGCAACTGGCATAGTCAGCAGCCTTCCAAGTCGAGCATCTTTCAGCATAAAGACTGGAGTTCTCCTGATTCCCAGGCTGCTGATGTCCGACCAAGGAGTGTATTGCTGTGTAGCCTCTAAGCCAACAATTGCCATCCCTGCTAACAGACGAAGTGTAGCCGATCTGATTTTGGTTGTCACAGGTCAGTAATCATGTAACAAGAGCAACAATATTTGGGGGAGGGGGGGGGGGGGAGGTATCCAAATGCATTCAAACTTCAGTTGCCCTCATCTATTGCCTCTCCTGGAAGCTCACGGATTTGCGCATGCCTCTGAACCACTGCCTGCACCCCATAAGACTAGCTATTGACTTCCCATCATTTTGCAAACTGAATTGCCCGTTAGGGTGAAGAGTGGTCGTTCCCGGTCTTCTCCTGTGCATGTTCTTCTCTTTTCAGCTGGAGATGCGTGTGCTGGCGAGTGCAGCCGGCTTTCCAACATGACAGAATGCAACCGCACAACAGGACTGTGTCAATGCCGTAATGGTTTGACTGGCAGTGTTCAGGCAACTTGTACAGGTGAGAGCACTGAGTTAGTTCTAAATAAAAACCTGTATCATAGCGGAAGCTACTCATGTCCTGATAAGGGAGTTCGACAACAATATCACAACAGGTCAACAATGACAGTAGCCTAGTAGTGAGTTGATTGGTATCTGTAGCTCTTCTTTAAAAATCCTAATCCAAATCCGTATCTGTTTCAATTACAAATGAGAGCCCTCCGGCTCTTTTAAATTACAAAAGTGCAAAGCTGATCTCATGCGTGTACACATAACATTGTACAGTCACATGAAGACTACACACCCCCTAGAGTGTGCAACTCCCGCATGCCCGGCTGTCCCGGCAGAATTTTAGGTTCACGTCATTTTTATGATGCAATGGTCCTCGCACCGGTGATTTACGATGTTTGTACGGGGTGTCAACGCATCACATGTGTTTCCGTGTACAAAATCAAACCGGATTCAAGTTGTCCGCCCCAGGTCCAGGATATGTCTCGATATAAGTGTACCACGCACATTGCATCATAAAAATGACGTCGACTTAAAGTTCTGCCGGGACAACACCCATCGTGGAGTTGCATACTTGTGGGGGTTATGTTCTCTTGGTCACATGCATACATTGCACTTACACGTACACACATGTACTGACATCCCAGACCACGCCACCACTCCCCTTATTCATGGCTCACACATGACGGGTTTACGTGGCTCTAGTAAAAAAAATGCATGAACTAATATATAATTACTTAATGAGAAGGCCATGACTTATGGTCTTTCTGAACTTGTCATGACAGTAGGGTGCAAAATTCCACACTTGGATTCCGACGTTGCCGTGGACTGCTGCCAGGGAATGCTGCCATGGAGTCTCGTAATACGCCTTGTAGTGTAGCAAGAAATGGTCACCGGTGTGTGTGTGTGTGTGTGTGTGTGTGTGTGTGTGTGTGTGTGTGTGTGTGTGTGTGTGTGTGTGTGTGTGCGTGTGTGTGTATGTAATATGTATGTGTGTGTATGTGTGTATGTGAGTGTGTGTGTGTGTGTGTGTGTGTGTGTATGTATGTAATATGTATGTGTGTGTGTGTGTGTACGTGTGTGTGTGTGTACGTGTGTGTGTGTGTTAGCCTAATTGGTAGGGCGCTGTACCGGTAAGGCAGAGTTGGTGGGTTCGAATCCCCCCACCCCCCATGGATCCTTCTTTCGCAACAGCAGGATCATGGGTTTTTTTAATTTGGGAAGTGTGTCGTCAGTCCTTTGCCAATTGTCAGGCCGTGCAGCATGCCTGTGTTTGATGGTCTTGCCCGTAGGGCTGCGGCCTCTGTAAGCCATCATTAGTTAGGATCATAGCACCAAGCATCATTTGTGTGCGCTTCACTGTTCCTTCCTGTGCTCTGCCGGTTGTGTCACGCAGGCGCAAGCAAGGAAAACCAACCAGGCTCGCCGGCTGATCTTCAAATACTAGGTATAGGACACTTCCATCTGGTGTGTATGTGCTGTGCTGACTGGCTGCAGCTGCTCTTTGTACACAGTTTATCTCGATGCCCTGACCTTCTCATCACCTTCTATACATTGAAGCAAGAGTAGAGAAGCTCCCAATAGTGTGCAATTCTGCGTACGGGATCTCCGACTGTGGGAACTCACTGGCATCGCGTGTTCCAAGTATGATTTGTACTACGTACATGTACCATGGAGGCCAGCAAGCACGCAGTTTGAATATCTGCCATGATCGTGCTGATGAATCGCATAAGCTGAGTGGGCTTTCTGTCAAGGAGTGCTATTTTTACTTCTGCACTGGTCACTAAAACAGGCTGGGAATGTACATCGGGAACACTATACCATGTGATGTGAGTTTTGCCGTCGGCAGACCCCATAGAAAGGGTATCCAGACTTGCACACTCTTGGGAGCTTATACTGATCATACTCTTGATTGAAGCTACCACAGGTCTTTGGATCAGACCATTTATTGTGTGCCCACTTTCATTTCTCTTTTCTTCGCTGATCAGTATATGCGGGAATCGGTGCTGGAGGCTTCATTGTCATCTTGTTAGTCATTCTCATGGTGGTGAGAGCAAATCACGGAAAGCGGTAAGTGAGTTCTGCCCGTGCATTTTCAAATTGTTCCGGCTCCATCAGCTCTTGGTCGATTGGAGCAATTAAAGTTCCTGCATTGTGAAAATATTATTTTGATCGATCCATTCGGTGTGAATCCCCATCCAAACACATCGGCAAGCATGAGTGAGTGTACATGTGAATGTGAGTAACATCCTGACCAAGATGTTCTCCTGTACCACCATGATGTGCGCAGGGACCGTGTGACAACTAAATACCAAAGTCGAATCAAACTGGTGTCGGGAGAGGGACCATCCACCCAAGAGAGTTATTCTGAAGTCACAGGTAACAGCTAGCCGCTGCTTGTGCGTGTGTGTGTGGGGGGGGGGGGGGGGGTATATTCAATTGTAAAGGGCAGTTGCAATGCAGGGTCATTTTTACTTCTGAATGTATTTCCTACTAAAAGTTGGATAAGAGGCGAACCCCTCAGTAACGGAGAAAGAGTTCATCATGTATGCGCCGAGGTTCGTCTTATCCGAATATCGATTATGCTCGCAAAACCATGGAATTATGCCTGCATTATGCTCGCAAAATCCTCATATTATGCGTTGGCATGCGGTGATACTTATTCACTTCGTTATACAGTATGTATTGCAACAGCACTGTTAATTAGCCTGGCCATAATGATAAGCCTACCCCTGACATGCTTGCCCGCCTACTCGTGTGCACGCATGCATTCTTGCCGGAAATGTCTACCTGTGGCGACAATAATTTTTTTCATGGACTGATCTTCTTTTTTAGTGTTTGCACACTCTTGGCTGCTGCTGTGGCATTTTTGTATTTTCGTACTGCTGCGCTCTGTACGGCTGCACTAGCCGTATCAACTGTCGTACCCATATGCACACATTCAATCCCTGGCTACACTTTGGAACTGTTTTCGTTGCCTATGTCCTCATCTCTCTTCGTTGTGTTTTCGCTGCCTGGGCTCTCATTTATCTTTGCTTGCTTGCTTGCTTGTATTGCTGAGGGAACATATGCTGGTTTGTATTCGTGGGTCCCCATGGTGCATGGGCCACGCATACTCATCCGGCAGATATGTGTGAATAATAATAATAATTGCCTCTAAGGTTGGCGGCTATAGTGATCAACTTCTCAAATTCATTTTCACTCGCCATCACTAAGTATACACAGTTACCGCGTATAGTAATAATCGTCTATAGTAATATATCGCCTATAGTGATTAAATTCAAGTATCAAAAGACCTCTTCAAAATTTTGAAGGACGCTTCACGCAGCTTCATTATACTTGAATTGTTTGCAGGCAACCTGCCTACACTCAAGAGAGCACTGCATTTCACACAAATCCATTGGTATCGTTACAACGTTTCGGTCTTTATGACCATCATCAGGAATGAAGTGGACATGGAAAGAACAGCAGTATAAAAGAAGGAGGCAAGCAAGCAAAGCGCGGTACATAGTGACAGCGCGCGTAGAGAAGTGCAAAGCACGTCATGGCGGGTGTGCATTACTACATATACATGACAACACAAGCACAAACGGCGAGGAAAGTAGATACTGCGCTACAGCAGTGATAACAGCCCAGTTACAGTCTCACACCACCAGTGAGGTGTCTAGAGCCCCGCGCCACTCGCAGTAAGGTGGTGTTATAGCAGATCCCAGCCACTGTTGTTATTAATTTCCGGGGATCGCTCCCTGATATTGATGGCCTCCCGGATCCTCCTCCTGGGGCGGTCACGCTCAGAACCGAGAACCCGGATACCTGAGAAAGCCGTTGCTCCCAATGGCAATGGGTCAGATGCATGCTTGGCCGCGAAATGCTCACCCAGCGCGGTGCCGCTCACTGTGTTGCGTGCGTCGTCGTTGTGTTCTTTTGTCCTGGTAGCGAGGCTGCGGTACGTCTCTCCGACATATTTATCACCACATTTGCACTCGAGGTGGTATACCACGTTTCGCTCTGTGCATGCTTCTGAACCGGACATGCAGGCGACACAAGCAGCCTTGGGCCGCCCCGTTTACGGGGCTTGGACGGGTCTACATACCTGCGGCATGGTGGTTTGCGGAGGGCAGACGTGCAAATCATAGAACTTAGATGGCGGTTCCTGTAAATCAGCTGGGCATTTATCTTGTACTTCCGGAGTAATTTATGAATTTTGTTGTGGATATACTCGGTGTGAAACGGTAGGTTGAGGGTGACACGGTATTCATTCTGCACTCTGACACGTCGGGGGCGCATAGCTCGTTCACGTGCCGAAACTATAACTGACTCTGGGAAGTTGTTGAATTTTAGGATGTTGGTTACTTTTTCTTCACTTCTTTTTAGGGTGTCGGCATCGGAGGATAGGCGGACAGCACGCAGGAACTCAGAGGAAGCAATTGCTTGCGCGCTGTCACTATGTACCGCGCTTTGCTTGCTTGCCTCCTTCTTTTATACTGCTGTTCTTTCCATGTCCACTTCATTCCTGATGATGGTCATAAAGACCGAAACGTTGTAACGATACCAATGGATTTGTGTGAAATGCAGTGCTCTCTTGAGTGTAGGCAGGTTGCCTGCAAACAATTCAAGTATAATGAAGCTGCGTGAAGCGTCCTTCAAAATTTTGAAACGGTTCTCCCCCTCAAGGACTCAGACGCCCTGGTTGTTCGTGAAGTGGGCATGGAAACTAGAGCGGAGTCTTTGTCAGGTGCATTTTCTGCTTCAATGTCGGCGGAAACATTTAGTCCCATATTTTATTCAGCGCAGCGTGCCCCAGCCGATAGGTTCCCGTCCTTCCAGAGCTACCCGTCGCGATGCCTATGTTCGCAACCTTCTGAGGGATGCCATCGAGGACAAATTTCGGTGGAAGTCCCACTGCTATGGACTATTCACAGCGCGGAGGGCCGACCTGTGCTCGTACTCCAAGCAAGACTATATTTGGCTACGTGCCTTGTGCAATGCTGTGTGTCATGCTGAACGACTTGCCTCCCGACGACGGCTCACCCTTAAGCTAGAGCGTCTATGCCAGCAGCAGTCGTTCGTGGGCTTCCCCCATTGCCAGCTGCCTGCAGGTGGTCACCGCAACAATGTCACGACGCAAGACCGCTCTGGATGTGCTCTTGACTTAGACAACTGTGTGTCGAGTGAGGCGCTGGACCTCCTTAGACTCGGGCCGGGCTTTGTTCCGTCGGCTTGCAAAGCCAACCAGAGAGTTATGCAAGACGTCGAGGTGGGCGTCGAAAGAATGGCGTACTCTCTTCGCTGGTGGAGGCAGTCCTCGAAACAGCAGCCATCTATGGCTGACGGAGGTCCCGCCAAATTTGAACCCAAGATCTGGCACCTGAAGGCACATGGTTTCCAGCAGGGCCCTAAACTGTCCAAGGACGAAGAGTACAGCCTGGCGAGCTTCAAGCGCGAAGCAATGGCCCTGTACAAAAACTCGCGAGTGCCGCAGCCGAACCTGTCTCACTCTGATCGTGAGCAGCTCATGAAGGTCGGCAAGGACGAGTCGGTCATCATAAAAAAATCTGATAAAAGCAACAAATTTGTAGCAATGAAAATGACCACTTACCTGGAGAAGGCAGAATCCCTGTTGTCGGACGAGTCCCGGTTTGAGAAGGTTGAGCTTACTATCGACCAGTGGGAGGAGGAGACCCGAAACATACTCCGCCGAGTTTGCGAGGGATCCTTGGAAAAGGATTTATACACAGCCGTGATGCCGGGTGACAACAGCTTCCCTGAAATGTACGGTCTTCCAAAAGACCACAAGTCCAATATTCCTCTCAGACCAGTCGTTGCGGCCTGCGGCAGCCCAGTTACAAACATCTCCATAGTCCTCGAACGCATCCTCAATCAATGTCTCCAGTTCGTGCCAGCACACCTGGAGAACACTGTTGAAGCACTCCAGTGTATGAGGAGCGCGTTTCCCAACCTCAAGGCCCCGCCCGGCACCATCATTGTGACTATGGATGTGGTGGCCCTTTACCCTAGCATCCCGATTAACGATGGCATTGCAGCAGTCATGAGAGTCCTCCGACAACACGAGGGCAGCATCGATCTGTTCGGTTTCCGAATTGGGCAGGTCAAGGAGCTCCTCGCACATGTGCTGAGCTCCAACTACTTCCGGTTTGGAGCGCAGGTGTACCACCAGAAGGATGGTGTGGCTATGGGCAATAACCTAGCGCCCCCCTTTGCCATCCTGTACATGCATGACCTAGAGAGTTCGCTCTTGCGTAGTGCACCTGCCAGCCCAGTTCTGTACAAGCGCTACTTCGATGATGTTTTCATTGTGTGGAACCTCGGTCCGGAACTTCTGCAGAGTTTCCTAGATCACTTCAATAATGCCGATCCTAATATTAAATTCACTCACCAATCCACGGAGTTGACTGGCTCAATCAATTTCATGGACACGACCGTCCATGTCTCGCCAGATGGATCTATATCCTATGAACTATACCGCAAGCCATGTCACAGCGGACTGGTATCAGACTACAACTCGTCAGTTCCCAACCAGCAAAAGAAAGCAATTGCTTCCTCTGAGTTCCTGCGTGCCGTCCGCCTATCCTCCGATGCCGACACCCTAAAAAGAAGTGAAGAAAAAGTAACCAACATCCTAAAATTCAACAACTTCCCAGAGTCAGTTATAGTTTCGGCACGTGAACGAGCTATGCGCCCCCGACGTGTCAGAGTGCAGAATGAATACCGTGTCACCCTCAACCTACCGTTTCACACCGAGTATATCCACAACAAAATTCATAAATTACTCCGGAAGTACAAGATAAATGCCCAGCTGATTTACAGGAACCGCCGTCTAAGTTCTATGATTTGCACGTCTGCCCTCCGCAAACCACCATGCCGCAGGTATGTAGACCCGTCCAAGCCCCGTAAACGGGGGCGGCCCAAGGCTGCTTGTGTCGCCTGCATGTCCGGTTCAGAAGCATGCACAGAGCGAAACGTGGTATACCACCTCGAGTGCAAATGTGGTGATAAATATGTCGGAGAGACGTACCGCAGCCTCGCTACCAGGACAAAAGAACACAACGACGACGCACGCAACACAGTGAGCGGCACCGCGCTGGGTGAGCATTTCGCGGCCAAGCATGCATCTGACCCATTGCCATTGGGAGCAACGGCTTTCTCAGGTATCCGGGTTCTCGGTTCTGAGCGTGACCGCCCCAGGAGGAGGATCCGGGAGGCCATCAATATCAGGGAGCGATCCCCGGAAATTAATAACAACAGTGGCTGGGATCTGCTATAACACCACCTTACTGCGAGTGGCGCGGGGCTCTAGACACCTCACTGGTGGTGTGAGACTGTAACTGGGCTGTTATCACTGCTGTAGCGCAGTATCTACTTTCCTCGCCGTTTGTGCTTGTGTTGTCATGTATATGTAGTAATGCACACCCGCCATGACGTGCTTTGCACTTCTCTACGCGCGCTGTCACTATGTACCGCGCTTTGCTTGCTTGCCTCCTTCTTTTATACTGCTGTTCTTTCCATGTCCACTTCATTCCTGATGATGGTCATAAAGACCGAAACGTTGTAACGATACCAATGGATTTGTGTGAAATGCAGTGCTCTCTTGAGTGTAGGCAGGTTGCCTGCAAACAATTCAAAAGACCTCTATTACACTATTAATTTTTGCATCGGCTTAAGTAATTGATGTGAAATCGAATTGTGTCAGAGGCGAACAGGAAGTTACTGCTTTGTGAAAAATTGTTTCGTGACTTCTATTTGTAGTATTGGGGGGTTAGTTGTGCAAAATGCCGCCATCGTGAGTATATGCTGACGTTGTGTGCCAGGAGCCTTGGCTGCATAGGCATGATAATGCTGCATGTCTCAAAGTAGGAGTACATGTACACAGGATGCAACCGACTATGCACCTCTCCTTCCATCATGCCCGAACATCAACTATGCCTCCTAAATTATTAATTACTAGAGTATTGAAAAATATCAATTGTGCACTCATAACCATGTATAAACAATTAAAATGAAACAATTCCAGAACGTTTTCGTGTGACCATCATCAGTGGAACATCGTCACATAGTAAGAATCACTAAAACAACCAGTTATATAGCTAGAGTAATATGAAAAGAAGCGTGAGAATGCAGCACAGCTAGCGGTTATGCATAACGCGTGTAGTGTGAACCTTTGCAGTGTATCTGAGAATGGTAGCAGTAGATGAATGTGGCAGCTGTGAGAGGGTCACACGAAAACGTTCTGGAATTGTTTCATTTTAACTGTTTATACATGGTTATGAGTGCACAATTGATATTTTTCATTGCTATTTTACGACTGTTGTCTCCTCGTCGGTTATTTAAATACTAGAGTATTATCCACTATATCAAGTTCATACACCGGTATCGATATTTGCAATGGGAGTTGTCAATACGATTATAACCTGCACAGCCACGGCTGCTAAAATCCAAAGGTCATGACTTCAAATCATACATAATGCACGTGTACGCAGAGTTTTGCGGACCACTAGTACCTGTTGATATCTCGTCCGCCCCGCGCCCGAGACACCTAAAAAAGGCTGATTCACTCGCGTCTTCTGCTACATGTACTGTATCAGCGTGAGAAAGAACTTGGAAGAAGACGAGTTCGAGCGTACAACAATGTACTGCCATGATTCCCGAGTACTCTGCTTTTCACTGAACACTGTCTGTATGACCTCCGAACCCTTTGCCATGCAGACCACCAGCACTGATCAAGTGCATTGTGCACAATTGTGTAGCCTGCATATTAGAACTGCAGTACAATCATGCAGCTACATTGCATGCTCCTACCTCCGAAAGGATGCCAAATTATGCTCTAAATTTTCAACCACCAAATTATGCCAATAATTATGCCGGCATAATCCGACGGAGCCTAATAATATAGCCAAAATGTTTAGGGAGTTTTTACACTTAGAGTGACACAATTATAGCAAAATTTGTTTGGTAAAAAAGCAGCACAAGTCACACATGCACACATTTCCTACACCTACATATCCATCCATCACTACAGTGTACTGTCATGTCGGGCACCGAAGAACTGGGGGTCAGGGTTCTAGCCTAGCCCGTTCTTATTTTCAGCGAACACAGCAGTTTCGTTCTTATTCGATGGTACAGTCTTACATGTACATTTTATGCAGAGTTATACGTCAGAGTGTACGTTATGATTATAGTGTATATTGCGGTTTCCGTTCTTATCTGCAAAAAATCCAGCCTACCCCGTTCTTAAAAATGGGTGAAATTCTAGCCTGGCCGTTCTTCGGCAGTCTGTTCTTCGGCAGTCTGTTCTTTGGCGCCCGACAGTACTGTGCCTTTCACAAGCTACATTATACTATTGCCAGTATTGGTTGGCTGGGACCTGGCCTGAAAGTTTGAAAATTTCATCAAATTTTCCAATGAAGGTCTCTTTACTGTGATTCAAACCAATTCATATTACCTTTATTGGAGTTGAGGAGTGAAGTTATATACCGTAAAATTCCGTAAATAAGCCCACCCTAAATAACGCCCATGTCCGATAATAAGCCCAGTTTTAGGCGGTGTACAATTCAAGTCCGTTTTAGCGCCCATGCCCGAAATATATATGTGTAAGTAAGTGGCTGTGTTGGAGTTTCTGGACAAAATAAGAAAAGTTCGTCTTACCCTACTTTATTTTTTTAAGAAATAAAAATTTCTTTTCAACTCGGATGTTGAGCCAAACTTATCATGGATAAAAAGAAAGGACAACATGTTTCTTTTCAGTGGATATAATAAGAACATGGCGGTGGCCATCCCCTGTGAAATTTTTTTATGCAGATTTGCCTTCCGTCTCCTTGTTGAACATGCAATTCTTTGTGTTTGTGTCCAGAGCCCAGCGGGAAAGCTGAAGCTGGAAGACTTGGTGGAGTCAAATTGACACCTTCATGCACCTATAGTTCAGACGGGAAATCACGAATGAGCTTGAAAAGCCATGCAATGGGGAGTGAAACATCATCTCGGGATAGCAGAGAGGAAGACCCTTTCGGCAGGAGTGTGCATGATGCTCGCTTCTACGATAACAAGTCTATGGTAACGCAGTTGCCCAGTACTGGTGATGCTTATGAAATCACGTACGATAATTCGTCCGGTGCCAGTAGGGGCTACATTGGTGGAGAGTATGAAAACAGATACGACTTAGCCCCCCTCAAGGATCAAAGAGAATCAGTAGCATCCACTGCACCTGGTGGGGACACGTATGACTTGCTAAATCGGGACGCCAGTGCAAAGGATCTCCAGCCATCAGACGGCCCGGGAGAGATGTATGATAGCTTGGAAACTGCTCCCTGGCCACAACAGACTGAAGACTTACATGCAGTTCTTAGCAGAGATGCTGCTGGCCCTACTGGTCCTGGAATTGCAAAAAAAGAAGGCAAGAAAACCCACTCTCTGCGGACCCGGGCCTCTGCTCAGTAACTGCCAACGCTGACCAGAGCTAAAAGGTATTCGTCGTTCAAGCAAGCAACGAGGCAGTGCTGCTGTGATGTCGACTGCCCTGTGTCTCCATGCTCAGCCGACTCCCTTCCCACTTACTATTCAGTACTAGTGTAGAATGATGATAGTCTCCACAGGTTAAGGTCTTCTTGCGTAACTTTAGTTCTTCACAAAAATCCTTTCCCTAAGGCATGTGTGCCCCCCCCCCCCCCCCATTGTATTACTTCCTTCGATATACCTAATAACGGTCTTGCACGGAGTAGCCTATAACTATTTCCCTTTTAAAATTCACCCAATGATGTTCTGGCATGGAGTATCTTATACTGTAAGACATGTTATTATAACGAGTTGCAAATTTAACGATTGTGCAAAATTCATAGGTTAACGAGAAGATATATTAACGATCTTGCAGTATTCTGCCATATCCACGCACAGCATATATGAAGCAGTACGGCCTCAACGGATCTTATGATACCGAAGAAATGTCATCCGTTAAAACGTTAGATTTGCTTCCTCGTTATATATACATGTCTTACAGTAACTATGTTTCCTCTAAAACACCCAATACTGGACCTGCTGTTCTTTCACGGAGTGTTCTATAACCATTAGTCCTTTAAAGGGGAAGTTAAGGCAAAAATTAAAATTTCACCAGTTGTAGTCTTCGGGGTGCTGAGTCGAATGGTCGTGGTCCGAGGAAGCTGAGACGCTCCCTTCCTACTTGAATCCCAATCGAACTCGCGCACTTCCACCGAAACTGGGTGACTGCGCCCTACGAGATGGGGATTTGTATGCAAAATGTCACTAAAAGCGCCATTTCGTTCTTATAAAAGCACGGATGACCGCGATTGACCCATATGTTGTAGTCTTTTGGACGCTGAGTCGACTGGTTTTGGTCCGAAAAGGCTGCGATGCAGCGTTCCGCCTTTATTCCCAATCGAACATGGTTGAACAAGCGGTCACGTGCTCCTGCGTACGCCAGTCACCTGGTCACCGTGCCTGCAGGGTACAACTTACTAGCCTGTTTGACCTTTTTTGGGTGCAGTCCTGTCACTCGAGTTGACCCTTGGTAAATTATTTACAATCTTTTAGAAAACGAAATGAAACAAGCTGTGCAGAACTGCAGATGTATGAATTCCCATAGGTTTGTACATGCCTGGTTGGGTGTTCAAACTGTCCATTGTGTGTGGCAGACGATCACCTTTCCAGCTTCATCACTTCGGATAGAGCTAATGACTTAGCAAGATGTTCATCCAAAAAGGGTTGTTGCATGAAATCCTGATATGAAGGGCACGCTTCGTAGTGGAAATGCAGATAACACAATCCGACCCTGTACATTCAGTAGTGTACCCAAAAAAGAAAAAAAACATTTTGAAAGTTGCTTGGACTAGTTTCACTTGGTTTATTAGTGTATTATAGTACTGCACAGTACCCGTACTGTGCATGCTAGCTACATAATCGTATGACTACGAACTAATTTTGGTTTTGCCCGTACAAGAGGCTGATACCGCAAACAAATGGTCAAACTCTCAAAAACTTGAAAGTAGTGTACCCATCCGGGTCTGTAGCTATCTACGCGATTCTACACGATTCTATACTGTAAGACATGTGGAATATTATAACGGGGAAGCAAATCTAACGTTTTAACAGGTGACATTTCTTCGTTAACTTGTTCTGTTGAGGCTGTAAGGCCACATATGTGATATGTGCGGATATGCCTGAAGACTGCAAGATCGTTATCGTTCTCGTTATCCTATGGATTTTGGACAACCATTAAATTTGCGACTCGTTATAATAACATGTCTTTTAGTACGCGATTTCATACTTGAGCACATGACGTCAATGTGCATGGCCGTAATTGTAAGCTAAGACTTATTCAGTTATTGTGGAAGTGTAACGATAATAATTTTTAATTTTTAAGAATTACTGGCTTTGATATTCCATCATCCTACGTCATGTACTTCAAGTAAGTGTAGTCAGGCTGATGACATACTGTAGATGCAAGAGTCCACAACCCCGGGTTTCAATACGGACTCTTCATAGATCTAACTAATGCCAGTAACGCCAGTAATGGGTGTGGATTACAAGATAAAAAGAGGTCTCTGAAGCTCTCTTTGCACAGTCATGTTTGTACAGGCCATCTTACATATCGAGGCTGAGTTGGCATGGTTGGCAGCACAAGGCCGTCAAGGGAATCATGATGGTTGGCACTACAAGTAGCTGCTACATGTGAGCGTCACCTACTACTTCTACAGTAACCTTGAACCACAGGCACAGGCTAGGTCAACAGTGGTCAACGAGAAGGTCCAGTAAAGATCATCTGGTAGAGAGCAGGACCAAAATATTCTAAAAATAAACTTTGAGAAAGCATACTCTGCTGTACTGGTAGGTCTACATGGTACCAAGAGTACATACATGTACATTATGTACTCTTGATGGTACTAGTATACTGGTAAGTGGTATCGACAGAGCGCTTGCGTCAGCGCTTACTGCATGCATAATCATGAGTCCAAACTCCAAACTCGCTGACACTGTCACTGAACTCTTGACATTCAAAAAAGTAGATTGTGTGTACACTACATCATTGTCTACATGGCGCATGTACTCCAGTCTTGAAAGGTTTTCTTTGGAAGTAGATCTACTAGTATTTTATTATAATTTTTTAACAAGTTACTTTAGTTTCATGAGGCAGTTGAGTTGATGTTACCAGCAAGTAGTTCTGTAGTTCCGTCAGTGGAAACTATTGCCATAATTTTTTGAGCTCTTCCACGGTACGTGAGGTATCAGTTGTCCACCAGCACTGGCAGTAGCATTACCTCCTGGCTTCGCAGTGTTTGGTGCGGCTGTCTTGATTTTTCAAGATTTGACCCAGAAATGGAGGAGCACAAAACAAGCAATGTAGTGTGACTCTTTCTCCTTGTTTGTGCGTGTGTGTGTCTGTGTTCGTTGGCCCATACGGCTCGGTATGTCTGGCTTGGTGGGACAATCCAGTCACAGATCTAACACAAGTGCTGCAGAAAGTGATGTGCCTAGTCCTCGAAAGGCACGATGGTCCCAGTCCTCCCTTGAATCATTGTTCTACGATTTGAACAAACCAGGTGTTCAGGTGAAGCGTGCCCACCAATGGACTGTGGAGGAATCTTGCAACGAATTCGTTGGTGCCAGGAGAAGCAAACACACCATAGTGTCCTGGGGAAATGCCATCTTTGTGTTTGGCGGTGACGATGGCCGAAAAATGCTCAACGATTTGCTTCGCTTTGACTTGCTGGACAACTCGTGGGGTCGTGTTGTGACAAAGCATCACCCACCTGCGCCAAGATATCACCATAGTGCTGTGGTCTTCGGTGATAGCATGTTTATATTTGGAGGGTACACTGGAGACTTGAATTCACCAGCCATACTGAGAAATCTGAATGACCTGTTTGAGTTTCGCTTCACCACAAGCCAGTGGATTGAGTGGGACGAGAATGGCCCCGTTTCTTTTCCCTCTCCGCTGCACGTTTCTACCAGCACATCTTTCTGGCAACAGCAAGTTGTCGTCGGTGGTGTTGGATTTGGTGGTGGCGCAGGTAATCAGCTGCAGCAGCAACAACAAATTCAGCAGCTGCAGCAGCAATTGCAACAGCAGCAGCAGTTTCAGGCGGCGCCAGCGCATGCTCAGGCCCACGACGCACACGGTGGTTCAGGGACATCCCATCGGCCACCTGTACGGTCAGCTCATGGCGCTGCTGTGTACGATTCGAAAATGTGGATATTCGCCGGTTACGACGGCAACAAGCGTCTGAATGACATGTGGATGATACCGTTAGACAGTGGTAATCCTGATGTGGCAATCAAATGGACTGAGGTCCAACAATCCGGCGCGCATCCGCCTACCTGCTGCAACTTTCCGGTCGCAGTTCTCGGTGACTCCATGTTCGTGTTCTCCGGGCAATCGGGTGCTCACATCACCAATCACCTTTTCCAGTTCCGTTTCCCGGAACGCCGTTGGATGAGAGTGATAACGCAGCAGCTACTTCCAGGCACGTGCCCACCACCGGCACGGCGCTATGGCCACAGCATGGTAGCCCATGAAAAGAACAACATGTTGTACGTGTTCGGTGGCTGCACGGCTGACAACTTGTCACAGGACTTGCACTGCTTCGACCTCCAGACCTGCTCCTGGAGCGTCATTCCGGCTGCATCCGGCAGCCAGGTTCCTATCGGACGTGTCTTTCACTCGGCTACTGTCGTTGGTGATGCAATGTACGTGTTCGGCGGCACAGGCGCAGACAACACGCGCCACGCTGACATGTACCGATTTCAGTTTGATACACACCCGCGTAGCTCCCTGCAGGACGACTTCCTTCATCTGCTGCAACGTGGAGAGCTGTTCGACGTCTTCTTCCTGGTCGGTGGAAAGGATGGCAAGGAGGCACAGCGCATTGGAGCACACTCTGCCATTCTCTCTGCCCGCTCATCTGTTTTGCGAGCTCGCATTTTGCAAGCATCGGAGAAACTCAGAGCTGAGAAAGGCGACACGGTGGCGACTGAAGTCTCTGAGGCTGCTGTCGAACAAGATGGCGTGGAGCAACCGCTGGTTGAAGTCAGCATGCCTGACTTCACAGCGGATGTGTTCCGCATTGCATTGGTCTTTATGTATTCTGATCGCCTGGTTCCCAGTTCGCATACACTTGGCACTCATCTCAATACATCGGAAATGGGCCTGTTGATGGATGTATACAAGCTGGCAACTGAGCTTCGCCTTGCATTGCTGGAGCGGCTAACTGCATCGCTGATCGAGGGCTCGGTGGACCGGTCTAACGTGATCTTTGCACTGAAGTGCGCTCACGTCCACAACCTTGCATTTGCCAAGGAGTTCTGTCTGCGGTATGTAACGAAGGAAGCGAACTACCGGGAGATTGTCATGTCACCGGCATTTGAGAGCCTCGACCGGCCTCTCATGGTGGAGATAATACGACGCCAGCAAGCTTCCTCAGGTATGTTGATTCGCTATAGTTAGAATTCAGTTGCAAAGTCTTGTGGGAACTTGGAAGCATTGGAATAGCAATATTTGCAGAAAACATGTTGAATGGTTGGGGTTGGGCATGTGTTCACCACTGCGTTCTGATAGTGCGGGCTTTACTTTCTGTGTTATGAGCTACATGTATTAGTGAAAAATGGGTACTGCATGTTTTAGGAGCTGTGAAAGTGGTGACAACCCAGCACATTGCTGGATCTTTATCTTTCAGCAGCCATTTGCCAGTGCGACGTGCGTTGATTTAGTGTACCGATTTGAGATCATTAGCCTGCCTGTGGCCTGTTCAACTGTGAGTGTGTGCTGTTTCGTTTCCATATGAAATCTACAAGTGCCCCGACTTGCTTGTGGTCTCCAAAGCTCCTTGGTTCATCACCTCATCACCTGTGATTTACCCTTGTGATTTGGTCGTGTATGTCATGACAGGCTCTTCGCGTGCACCATCGCCAGACTCGGCGGACATTTCGCCAAGTCACAGCACCGGGCCTGCTCACTGTGGCACTCTCGTCACTGACTTGAAGCAATTGCTTGAGTCTAACCCGGACTGGTGAGCTGACTTTGCATGATTGTGTTCTAACCAGGCAGTAGTAAAATATCCGACGGAGACACGTCACTAATCCTGATTTTTTGGCAAAAGAGATCATCTGTCAAAGAACGTATTGCGTGAAAGGCCCATCCATCTGATGGAACAGCTTTTCTTTTTGCTTTTGTGATGCTCCGGCAGGAATATTCCCAAAGGTTGTGTCCGTAAGGTGCTTGCTTTTTTTTTTCTTCCCATGGCCGGGGGTCATTATGTTGTAGTTACGATCTGTCACGTCAAGCATGAGGAGGTATACAATGTACTATCAACTCACTCTGTGTGTGCTCTGCTCTGCTCATTGTATTATTGTCTTCCTACAGCGCGTTCTTCGATATGATCGTGGCGTGTGGAGAAGTGAGCCTGCCTGCTCACCGCGCCGTCCTGGCGGCTCGCAGCGGCTTCTTTGCGGCACTCTTCCGTAACTCGGTGCCTGGCTTGAACCAGGTCGATGGCGCCATTGGTGACATCATGCTCACGAAATCGGTAAGCACATGATGGTCGATTGTCTTGGTGTCGCTGTGGTGGTGCTGTTTCCTGGTTTTGGCGATTGGCTCTTGCCTTTACATATATCTGTTTACTCCTGCAGCTACTGTATTATAGGGAAGTTTCGCTCTACGTAATTACATATGAAAATAACTGCTAGAAGTAGGGCCGTTCCTCATTCTTGTGTAAGTGCACTAGTATGTTATGTTCTTTCTGCTCACATCCATGTGCGCGCGTGCGTGCGTGTGTGTGTGTGTGTGTGTGTGTGTGTCTACAGGTGCTCAAGGCTTTATTGCGCTTCATCTACTACGACGACGTGTCCATGCAACCAGAGCTTGCGCTGTACCTCTTCTCAGCTCCTCATTATTTCTCCTTTTCCAACAGTCGTCTGCAATCATTTTGCCGAGAAAGCTTGGAGACAAGTATCTCCGCTGCCAATGTTTTGGCGGTGTTGGAGTCTGCCGACAAGATCAAGGCATATGAGATGAAGCGGCATGCTCTCTCGATCATTTCTGCTGAGTTTCCCCGGGTTGTTCGGCTGGATGCACTGCGGCAGCTTGAGAAACCGCTGTTGTTGGACATCTTGGAGGCACTCGGTGAGATGCACTTCTAGTCGGATTATTGTGCTACCCTGCTGGTCAGTGGCTGCTAATGCATGCATGTCTACATGTTTCCTCTTTTTATGCTGTGCCGGGATTTTGTTATGTGTTAGGTTGATTCCCTTGTGTTACATGCAGTGTGCGGGCGTGTGTGTGTGTGCGTCTGTGTGTGTGTGTGTGTGTGTGTGTGTGTGTGTGTGTGTGTGTGTGTGTATGTTGAGTACACATGACTTTTTCCTCTGTTCACTTCCTTGATTCCATGCCAGTGAGCTGGGCTAAGAAGTTGTAGAGAACATTCTCGTTATTTTTTCCCTTTGAGATGTCCATTCTTGTTCTTTCGTTTCAAGCAAATGTCGTACTATTTGATTTTTTATCATATTGGCAGTATTCTGCATTTCACCCCGTTAGGTGCACTCTGATTTAGCCTGTAGATCAGGTCCCCTCCCAGTCTTGCACATAGCAATGGCTTGATTATGACTCTATTCAGCTACTCACCACATCCAGTTCGTTGCCCTCTGATTTAGCCTGTAGATCAGGTCAGGTCCGCTTTACTCATGTGCAATTATGTAAGTGTTACCAGCAGGCCACAGCGCCCGCTCTAGTCTTGTACATAGCAATGGCTTGATTGTGATTCTTCGCGCCGAAAAATCGTGTGAAGCACGCCTCGAATAAATTTGTCCCCACAGGATACCGTGATTCTGCGGACGCGCAATTTTCCGCGTTATTGGCTGTCATCCCCGTTTTCGAGAGATTTTGCATAAAACCCGCGGTTTTCATGGAAATAGTACATGATGTTGAAAATGCACTACAAAGTCGTACCGGTGCATGAGTTTGTACGGCAAAGTTGTATACTTGCATGAAACCAAGAGTAGATAAACAAGAGTGTGCAACTCGCGGATGGGTAGGCCCACGGCGGAATTTTTGTTGACGTAATCTTTTCGACGACGCACGCGCTGCGAGGCTTTCGGAAAGTTTTCCCTCGTGCTCTTGCAGCATGTGCTCTCACACTGCTCTGCGGCAAAATGCGCGTTTCTCTGAAAAAAGGTGACGTCAACAAAAAATTCCGCCATGGGCGGGGGTATCTGCAGATTGTGCAGGAGAGATCCGGAGTTGCACACTCTTGTTTATCTACTCTTGATGAAACTGTATGCTAAAGTAACTTGTAGAGTAGAACCCGGGTCAGGGATCCACCTAACTCTGCGCGGACATACATGTAGCTGGACTCAGTTGTACAGGGATGGGCATAAAGGTGTGCAAAACGACGACTTTTTGTGAGTAGATGGACCCCGGAAAAAAAGTTTGGAGCGAAAAAAGTTACGGCTTCCTCGGAAACCGACGGGGACCCCCCCCCCCTTGGGCCGGGAATTAAATCCCGGTATGAGGATCACCCGCACAATGTACTAGTACATGCCAAGTGCCCCCTGGCTCCGATCTCTAATCCGGTGTGGCCCTTAACCCGGGTTCTACTCTACAAATGACAGAGAACTCGTGCATAATGACCGCATAATGGCCTGTTTTAGCCCGCATAATTATGCGCATAATTTTAGTAGTTCGTCCGCGTTATTCTGTGGCCCGGGGACAGATAAATCCATAGCGCTCATACGAATTTTGGCACAGAAAATCGTACCCCAGAACCTCTGATGCTGCAGCTGTTGCTCCAGGTACATGTACATGTATGTGCTGAATCAAAGTGGGGAAGTCCGCACTGCATGCCTCGTGGCATTAAAAGTGAGTGATTAATTAACTAAAGAGAAATGGAGTGAGAAGAAACAACACCTATGAAAATGATAATCCTAGCACTAAGGTTTACCCACCTGGTCCACATTTTTTTTAACTAGCCCAGGTTGAAAATGCTCCTGTAAACCTCTATACTTGTCACGGCAGTGGGCCACCCGGGGGTACCGGTATGACTCGTATTACCTTCACATGATAGACTCCACAGCAGTACAGTGCGACCATATGCTTTTAATTCAGGTTATCATACTGCCCGGGCCAACCCTCACCCCGGCTACCCCCTTTTGGGGCCTCTCTGGGGGAGGGCTCAGACTTTTGGAGCTAGAATTGTAAGACTGAGGCCGAGATAGCCAGCCGCGTTGAAGAGACAGTAACTAACTGAGCATTGTGTGAGCAACTCCCCCAGCCTTCACTAGGCTAGTAAGTTACTACTCTTGACACGCCGGATAGATGCCCCGCTCCAAGGCTACTGACAGACTCAGTACTCTTGACTTAGCAACAGTCCGCGTACAATGTAGATGTGTGATCAGCTATTATTATTTTTTTTTTATAGACTATGTCACGTGCATGACTGCTTGCCAAAATCAGGCTACGTAATTCATGATGTCAACTTTTTTTAATTTTCGGGGGAAAAAAGGAAAGAAAAATCTCGATGAAAGGAAACAATGAAACCAGTACAATCTGACATGTACCATGTGTAATAGTTCGTCTTCTTTTCTAGTTCTGTTCTTCATTGGGCGGATTGGAAGTGCTGCCCCACTCCTCTGTCCTGTTGTTTGAAGAAGAAACTGTGCTGCATCTCCTGATCTGAGTGCGCTTTCAAACCAGCCACCATTTGGGCACGTGTGAACCTTACGCATACGGTACTCACGGTATTCCACGTCCACATGCTTCCTGAACTTCCGGCGCTCCATTTGAAAAGGTGCCCGATCAATTCTTCTTCACTGTAGGGTTGTCGGCGACCAGCGGAGTTTTTCATTTTGTGGACTCTAGAAGGTGTTTGGCAATTCCCCAGACCGGACCCTGCCATGCTCAGCAGCATATTTCGCTGCTTCTGCGGAGTTGTATTCTTTTGTGCTGTTTCATCGTCGCTCCGACATGCTACTATTAGAAGCAAGAGAGCCCTCACATGGTCAGGGGACTTGCTAAAGGAATGTCCAAAAGACACAATTCCACCAGCTGCGTTGGAAGTGCCAACCTACCAGGTACACGTGCTTTACGTTCTTATGTCCTATGTTTCCATTTCTCTTGAAACATTTCGAAATGGCACGGTGACATGTCAGCTCCGTGGAGTATTTATCATACAGCTTCACGTGCCGAACGAATGTTGAATGTGTGTACACGGCCGTGTTGTACTGCTGCAGTTGCGCATTGCTTCAGTCAGTTTGTGAGGAATGGGCGCGCGCGCGCTCCTTCATCTTTTTCATGTGCCTGAGCTGAGAGCTACAGAAATTTCTCTTTAGACAGAAAACTGATCCAATTACCAAGGCCACGCTCATTGCAGACTTGAACAATGCATTGGTGATGTATTTTTTCAGTGTATGGAACCAAGAGTGTGCTTGATTGGGTTGCTGTCATGGTAAAATAATTCCTGGATACATCTTTTTAGTGATGAAAGTGTGTGCAACTTACAGGCAGAATACCCAAGCTGGTCTCATGCTGCGTATCTGCACAAATTAGGATGTTGTCCAGGAATTTTGCCATGACAGACACCCATGAAGGAATAGTTAGAAAGTGGCACATTCTTATTTCCGTGTAACATTCCATGTATCTTGGTTTGATCTGGAAGGTTGGCTTGTCATTCCTGTTGACTGCAGGTAAAAGAAATACAATCCTCTTTTTTCTTTCACATTTTGTTCTCTCCTTTTGTAGTTTTCGTTCGACGATGACATCCACCAGTCAATTGATCTGCATTGGCTGGGCAAAGACTCTAAGGTACAGTGTTGTGTGCGTGCATGCATGCGTGCGTGTGTGTGTGTGTGTGTGTGTGTGTGCGTGTGTGTGTGTGTGTGTGTGTGTGTGTGTGCATGCATGCGCGCGTGTGTGTGTATGCACGTGTGTGTGTGTGTGTGTGCATGTGTGTCGTGTGGTGCATAGTGTGACTACACGCACACAGTGCAAGCGCATGTGCGAAGCTAAACTTTTTCAGCTCAGTGTTGTAACATGGCCTCACATGGTATAGTAAGTTAACAATTTCATTGGTATAGCATCCTGCTTGACCAGGCTTTCAGTGCTCCCTGTGATGTTGCCGTGCATCATGTCTTCCCATTGACTGTGCCGATTATCTCTGCAGTCTGTCCTCATGCTCTCAACCACCACTGCAATCTCCTTATTTGGCAGAGTTCATACTCCATCGTCCTTGTGGAGGAGGTCAGCTAAGTAATAGTTGACATTGAATTTCTAATACTTTGTACCTGAGATATGCGCTCTTGGTGTTGGACAACAGGACTTGAACTTCTTTTTTTTAATTCTATTTTCACCAGGTCATGCCCGTTGATTGGACTATCACAGGATTATTAGTGGCTCAACTCAGGTGCAGTGTATGTTGTAAAAGCCTTTCACTAGCACGGGATACACCGATGGCCATTATTGGTTTCTCGTATTTTCTTCGGCGTGGCCATGGACTGTTGATGGTGGTGACGGTGGTGAGGAAAATGGGGAGGGTGTTGTTGTTGTCAGTTCCGGTGCCTTTATTCATTGCCCAAGTGTGTATTCTCTTGCTTTGCTTGTGTCTATAGTTCTGATGGCGGTCGCCACTACGAGAATATTACATCGCAAATTAACGCTGACCCTATTTCCAGCGCTAGTGGCTTTACAAAGAATCCTGTGGATCCCAACATGGTATGGCTTGTTTTCTTACTGTGAAGCTCTGTTCCCTATGTACATTGGCTTGATGATCATCGCTGCATGTGTGGGAGTCCACACATCCTTTTGAAACTGAGGAGTTTGGCCCTGTTCACAAAGTAGCACAGTGCCATTCAAGTTGCCAGGCGCGTGCGCCGGTGCCCTTCAAGAGGGGGGACCTCCCCCAGGAAAATTTTCAAAAAATTAAGCAAAATCCTGCATTTTGAGCGAAAGGGGGGGGGGTTCCGGGCACCCAGGAACCCATACGGGGCACGCGCCTGGTTGCTATGCCAATTGTTTGGTAGTTCTGTGCATTCTTGACTGGCATACTTTGTTCTGCTTTTGAGGAGATTTGAATTCTGATTAGATTTTCCAGGAAAATGCCGATGTCAGCTTGATTGTACATGTACTTGGTCCATGCTGATAGAATTGTGCACTGCATGTGTGTGTATCCGTTGTCCTGGTCAGGCAATCATTGTTGCAGCTGCTGTTTACAAGCGTCCCCGCAGCCACATATATGTAACGCTAAATGGAGGTGCCACCTGGAAACGTGTCTACACACCGTTCAAGCTGGTGTCGATGCGCTTCAACACGTTTAAGTCGAACCTCATACTGGCGGACTCCTCCACGGAAGGGTCACTTGGACGCAATGGAACGGTATGTTCAGAGCAGTTGGATTTATTCGCGAAGCTATGCAAAATACGGTACGAATAATAGCGCCTGGCGCTAGCCGGGGTCTACAACTCTTTCATGTGTGTAACAGTTATGTGGGCCGGCCGTCATCACGTGGCACGGCGCACAGGCCGCAGCCTGCCAGGCCAGGCGCGCCATCTCATACATGTCCCGTACCATGCCGTCACAGCCAGCTGGCAACCTCGCGCTCACCAACATATTCGAATCATGGAGTAGTACAGTACCGTATGGGAGTACTCCTTGATTCGAATATGGCTTTCACCAGCAGGGTCATGACGTGAAGCAACTTGGTAAAATGTGCATGTATGCGACGTGTATCGAGGGACTGGTTCGAATCCTGAGTTACAATAAAAGGAGCAAAAAAAAGCTAGGACCAAAGCTTAACTAGGTAGAAGGTACAGCCAAACCGATAAGACATACCCAGAAGGGAACACAGAAAAAATACTTGGTAGCCAAAGTACTTACTAACCCCACGCTGCTATCGAGTGTGCCAATCTTTCGTCAACTGTAAAAAGTATGCACGTACACCCTGTGCGTACTGTACTTCAAACTAAACGGTTTTGACTGTGTACGTAAATGTCTGGGATATGGCGAGGGTCTAGATGCGCAGTATTTGTGAAGGTTTGAATCCCGAGTTTTGTGTTATACCATTGAGCAGATGCAGTGCGCATGCACAGGTGCTTGCGCTCCTCACACAGAGCCAAACACAGATACTAAAGGCCGATTCACAACACAACTTTCTGCGACGCGATTTGCGACAGTTGCGACAAGAAACTGCCTGCCGCAAGCTGTCGCAAGGCACCTGTCGCAGAAGTTAAAGAAAGTTCAACTTTTGCGACATACACAAATGGAGTACAGTTTCGACCCTGGGTGCACGTGCATAGCACTACTATACTTGTAGTGCATAAGGATGTCGCAAACATGAAAAAGATTGTGAACCGTGTGTCGTTGTCGCAGCTCGTCGCATGTCGCGTCGCAAGAAGTTGTACTGTGAATCGGCGGGTTGCAGTCCACCGAAGCTGCCCCGCCACACAAGGGTAACATGATAACTGCCCATACCGCTTGGCTGGCATTGCCCAGATCATCTCCAGGATGTAGCCATATGTCCCACGTGTGGGCACTGCAAGGCCTAGCAACTGGTTGGCTTATCCGTCCAGTGTCGGAGGCAGGAGGTGCTCTCTGGCAACTAAGGTGCTGTTGGCTTGTCGTTGGTGCCAGTCGGTGGAATCAAGCCATCTAGCAGGTATTCGTCAGAAGACTGCTCACGTGCTATGCAGTGGAGGATAACATTCTTGGGCCGATCATGCAGGTGTCGGGGTATGGTGTCGTTGTACCTTCAGAACGAGCTCAGCTGAGTGACATTGCTGACGGGCGCTGAGTCGCATATTCTGCCGCTGAGCAGGAAGAAAATACTTTACAATGATAAGACGCACTTTATTTTATTTTCTTCATTAATACAAGCTCCCCACCATCTGGACATGGTATTGCAGAATGGCTATTACAAATTTTCACTTGGGGTCCTCTTTTTCCGTTGCTGAGAACACTCTTCAGAAAGGAATACTTCAGGACCTTGTTTTGTGCCTCGACTCCACGTTGAGCTGATAATCATGTGCTGTCCGCACTCTGGACCACCGCTCTGGAATGGATAGCCATTTGCCATTGAGCCAATTTCGCACTTGCTTATTGTTGCACCACACATGAAGACCTCTCGCCTTCAGAAAGGAATATTTGAGGACCTTGTTTTGTGCCTCGACTCCATTGCTTGTAAAGACGTTGAGCTGATAATCATGTGCTGTCCGCACTCTGGACCACCGCTCTGGAATGGATAGCCATTTGCCATTGAGCCAGTTTCGCACTTGCTTATTGTTGCACCATACATCAAGACCTCTCGTCTTCAGAAAGGAATATTTCAGGACCTTGTTTTGTGCCTCGACTCCATTGCTTGTATACACGTTGAGCTGATAATCATGTGCAGTCCGCACTCTGGACCACCGCTCTGGAATGGATAGCCATTTGCCATTGAGCCAATTTCGCACTTGCTTATTGTTGCACCACACATGAAGACCTCTCGCCTTCAGAAAGGAATATTTGAGGACCTTGTTTTGTGCCTCGACTCCATTGCTTGTAAAGACGTTGAGCTGATAATCATGTGCTGTCCGCACTCTGGACCACCGCTCTGGAATGGATAGCCAATTGCCATTGAGCCAATTTCGCACTTGCTTATTGTTGCACCATACATGAAGACCTCTCGTCTTCAGAAAGGAATATTTCAGGACCTTGTTTTGTGCCTCGACTCCATTGCTTGTAATGACGTTGAGCTGATAATCATGTGCTGTCCGCACTCTGGACCACCGCTCTGGAATGGATAGCCATTTGCCATTGAGCCAATTTCGCACTTGCTTATTGTTGCACCACACATGAAGACCTCTCGTCTTCAGAAAGGAATATTTCAGGACCTTGTTTTGTGCCTCGACTCCATTGCTTGTAAAGACGTTGAGCTGATAATCATGTGCTGTCCGCACTCTGGACCACCGCTCTGGAATGGATAGCCATTTGCCATTGAGCCAGTTTCGCACTTGCTTATTGCTGCACCACACATCAAGACCTCTCGTCTTCAGAAAGGAATACTTCAGGACCTTGTTTTGTGCCTCGACTCCATTGCTTGTAAAGACGTTGAGCTGATAATCATGTGCAGTCCGCACTCTGGACCACCGCTCTGGAATGGATAGCCATTTTGCCATTGAGCCAATTTCGCACTTGCTTATTGTTGCACCACACATGAAGACCTCTCGTCTTCAGAAAGGAATATTTGAGGACCTTGTTTTGTGCCTCGACTCCATTGCTTGTAAAGACGTTGAACTGATAATCATGTGCTGTCCGCACTCTGGACCACCGCTCTGGAATGGATAGCCATTTGCCATTGAGCCAGTTTCGCACTTGCTTATTGTTGCACCACACATCAAGACCTCTCGTCTTCAGAAAGGAATACTTCAGGACCTTGTTTTGTGCCTCGACTCCATTGCTTGTAAAGACGTTGAGCTGATAATCATGTGCTGTCCGCACTCTGGACCACCGCTCTGGAATGGATAGCCATTTGCCATTGAGCCGATTTCGCACTTGCTTATTGTTGCACCACACATGAAGACCTCTCGTCTTCAGAAAGGAATATTTGAGGACCTTGTTTTGTGCCTCGACTCCATTGCTTGTAAAGACGTTAAGCTGATAATCACTTGCTTATTGTTGCACCACACATCAAGACTGTGCAGCTTGGATTCTGCTTCACGGTAATGTTTGTCGGGATATCTTCCGTCCTCTCGGCATGGTGGGACGTAAGCGAGGTTTCGCAAGCGTGTCAACACTATTGCTGCTTCATCATCACTCAAACCACGATGGCGACCTTTCGTCCATCGCTGCCAGGATTGCTTTCTATGGAAATCAGAGAGAAAGATTGTACTGTGAGGGAAGACCTCCTCTGAGGCAAACATCTCAGCCTTGGGATAGTCCCGTCATGAATAATTTCAGCTGTCATGATGGAGTTTGTTGCCTGATAACAGTGAGGGCATCAGCTATATCAGCATGCCTCTCCGGTTGTACACAGAATTCTGCCACGGCAACATAACTTGTAGTAGTGTTAGGTGCCTCGGCGGCGAGCAGGGCGGTAGCGGAATCAGCAGGGCGGCGGCCATTTGTTCTTCTGGAGAGAGAGACATGTTTGCTAGGTGGATGCGGAATGAAACACAACACCCAGGACGAGAACAAACAAAGCCAAACAGTAGTGTGCACAGCCAAGAAGAATAATGCCAGGTCATGGCAGGTAGTCATGTAGGTTGCATCCACACAACGACTAGCTCTCCGTACTTCTTGAGAAGATCCGTTTGCCACTTCTCCTGGTGGATCACCAATAGGCGTGAAGAGGCGGATACAGGATCCAATAGCGGCTCATCACCGCCACCACTGCCTTTAAACCGGCGGTCGCAGGGTGAATCACTTGCAGACTCCTAGGGAATAACGGTTTCGTCACTGAGTTTCGATGGTTCACAGGCTGCAACATACGACGGGAACTTTATAGTTGCAGGCGGGCGCTGGGATTCAGACCATGCCTTCACTTTGTGTGCCAATTGGGTCTGGTCAAACCTGGACTGCTGGGGTTTATGCGTGGCTAGGGCTATGTGTGAGCGGATGTCCTTGAGTTCCGAATGGTACCCACGGCCAACTTCATTCTTGTATTCCACCTTGAACATGGTTGGATGGCTCGAGCTTCTTGAAGACCACTCTCGACAAGTTTGAAAAAGCGATCGATCACAGACTGACCAAGTCGTTGACTCAGCTTGGGTCTGGTCAAGCCTGGACTGCTGGGATTTATGCGTGTCTAGGGCTATGTGTGAGCGGATGTCCTTGAGTTCCGGATGGTACGCACGGCCAACTTCATTCTTGTATTCCACCTTGAACATGGTTGGATGGCTCGAGCTTCTCGAAGAACAAGTTGAAATATTCGATCGATCACAGACTGACTAAGTTGTTGACTCAGCTCACTGGCGAGTTTGCCTTTCTCAGTATTCACATCGTGATCATTGTGGTAATCAACAGTCGGGTAGCTGACGATGAACCGCTCACACATGTTGAAGATGGTTTGCATGGCTCGAGCATCTCAAAGACCACTCTCAACAAGTTGGAGTATTCGGTCGATCGCAGACTGACTAAGTCGTTGACTCAGCTCACTGGTGAGTTTACCTTTCTCGGTATTCGCATCGTGATCATTGTGACAATCAACAGTCGGGTAGCTGACGATGAACAGCTCACACATAGTGAGCTCAGATAGATTTTTGCCGCCCTTTGCTTTTGCCAATGCATAACCAGAAAGACCAGTGCAGTCAAATTGAGTAATCGGGGAGTCGTGTAATGCGACGAATTGTGCACGATGCCTGGCATCTGAATTAACATGTCCCTTGCAGTTTAATTCGATTTTTTCTTTCAAGAACTCCTCCAGAGTCTCTTGCCAATCGATGATTGTAAGTTTCTAACATCGTTTGCAATTGTCACTGATGTGATTGTAACCGAAAAACCAGACAAAAAGCAGCTCCTGCCACTAGGCCTGATGCACGCGGCAGCTCAGCCAGCAATAGAAAGAGGCCGTGGATAGGTTTTCCCCACTTTTGATGGCTGTGGTCATCCCCGTGTGGCTCATACGGCATTTATTTTATAACGTTTTCTTGTGCTGCCTGCCGTGAGCTTTTGCTATGACCGCGTTGCCTCACAAAGGTGCAGGATGGTTGGGGAAGGGCAGGTTGCAGTTCAAAGTGCACGGCTGTTTTTTGAATGCACAATGCTTTTATTGACCATAGTTAAATTCAAGAACCATACGACCCTAAATTCAGGTTTAGGTTCACTGTGTGTGAAAGTGCTGGTTTGTTCCAAGAGGTTTCATTCAACTTTCCTCTTTGTTCTCCTTTGCTTTTACATATGGTAACCAGCTCTATTTGTCCACTGATCATGGATTTACGTGGAAGATGGTGATGGCGAATGTCAAGTCCTACGATTGGTAAGTAGAGTGGGGTGGCATGTGAAAACAATGATACAGCAGTGCTGTCATTGTGCATGTGTACACACTGATACAGCAGCGCTCTCAATGCTTTACTCTGTGAAGCATGAATAAGCCGAGCCTGGGAAGACCTTGGATAGGCAAGTTAGTAGCACAACAAGAAAGTATTCGATAGATTATTCTTTCGGAGAATTCGTATTCTGTTTGATTTAACACCAGTAAAAGCAATGGCTGAAGTAAGATGATGTGCTGCGTTGTTCATGCAGGGGCATCGGTACACACACTGTCTTTGTTAGTATCGCTGATCCTAAGAAGAAAGGTGAGCTGCATCGAGTTAGCTTATCTCACGTTCTGAATATGCTGCTGCTGCTGCTGCTGTTGTCATTGTCATTGTTGTCTTTGATGTCGTTGTCAACGTCGTTGTTTGTTTGTTTTATCCATACTTTTATGTGATTTTCTCATTTTCCCACTCTGAGCCTAGCACCCTTTTAACATGGGCTGCTTCGAATATTTTCTGGGTTTATATGTAAAAGCGTGTATGTGTGTGTGTGTGGTGTTTGTGCATGAGTTTGTGCATGTGCATATGTACGTGTGTATGTATGCGTTTGCGTATGCACACATGTGTGTATCTATGTGTCTATGCGCACGTACGTATTTGTACTAGGTGCAACACGGCTACAGCTGCTTCGTACCGACAATCTGTTCGAGACCTACAGAGGTTTGTTTGTTTTCACACACTTGCAGCACCATCCCACTTCCGTTCTTTTTTTGGTGTGTCTATTTTCGTTTAGAGTATATTTGAGCACTCCCATTGTAGCTGGGAAATCTCTGACGGGTCTCCTTCGGCGACGAGGAGGCATTTTAAAATTGATCAACAACAACACAGTCTCAAAATCAAGGTGGTGCACTCTGTGATTGGTTGGCATTGTTCAAGCAATTATTTTAAAGTCGAAACCGATTCCTTGACATAAATACGAATGGGTCCTTTATGGAAATGCAACAGGCTGTCATAATATGTAATGTATTTGTGTATTGTCATGTGCTTTCATTGCTGCCGGCTTCTCCAGTTGTGGCGCCGAATGTGTATCGCTTCGTCGTAGTCAACGGCTATCTATTTGCATCGGCCTACCATACTGAGGTAGGTTGTGTACTTGTAGTACCACCTGACTGTTACAGGCTTGACCGGACTAGGCCCTGTGAAATTTAGTCTGCTTTTCCTGCTTCGCACTCATCTGGTCAAAAATAGTAATGCCCTGTTGGAAGTCTGAAGGATGTTGGTGTTTCATGAGCGTGTTACTGATTCGTAACCAGCTCAACAAGCTCAAACACCGGCGCCCACAAAGCACTCACACATCAACAACAACAACAAAGACGCTCTTCCTTGATGTTACACATAGTTTCATAATACAGTGAAGCTTGGTTATAACGACACCCGAGATGGAACGCCAAAAAAGTCCTTATTTGCGATCTGTCACTATATCCGATCTTGGGATTTCCAACACAATATGCACACCAAAACGCGGCAAAATTAATTTTCTGCACAATGGTGCTTTTTTCAACTGAACACAAGGAGCGCTTCGTCCAACTCAGGAAAACTCGACTGCCTAGAGCTCTTGGCATCCATTGACGTCGCTTTCTTCACTTTGGCCACAATCTCCTCTCGGTTCTTGATGAAGCCAGCGAGAGTACCGTGCGCGACTCCATACTTTTCTTGAACGAATGTCCGCTTTGCACCTTTGTCCAGCTCCTGCAGAATGGCGTACTTTTCCGCGTAGGAGAAGAGCTTTCGCTTTCCAACAGGGACAGGGCGAGACATCTCGAACTTCCAAGTCTTTGGTCCAACGACGACTGAGAAAGTGATTTCTCGGAGAAAGAAGCATGGCGAATGTTGCGAAAATCCGTCGCAGAAGATACGGAAGGTACGGAGGGTAAGTGCGCACTACACCTGTATCTACACAGTACACGTATTTTACCGTCAGTACGACATGTTGACACTCCTTCGAAGTTTCCGGGCGTGCACGAGTGTGCAGTGCAGTGCAGTGTACAGTCGTCGATGTACACTAGACTGCACTGTACGATCTTGTGCACCCGGCTCGCGGCATCTGTGAAAGCCAGAATCGATCGTACGTCGCAGTCGTGAGAATGTCGTTATTTTGACCCATTTTCACACTACGGTGCATGGCAATTTGGTCGTTATTCTCGATTTGTCGTTATTCGAGTTGTCGTTGCAACCGATCTTTTTTGTACACGAATCAATACAAAATTGCTGCTGCCATGGATTTTTTGTCGTTGTAGCTGATCTGTCGTTATAACCAAGCTTCACTGTACAACACTGGATGAAGAGAAGAAGAGAGATGTCATAGTTACGGTAGAACAGTAGCCAGCAGCAGCTCACGACGCCATCAGGATCGAAGAGAAAGAGGACGCACTGAGGGGAAACCACTGCCTTTATACTGTTGCAAAAGAAGGATCCACGAGCGGGATTCGAACCCAGCACCCCTGTCTTTCCGGGACAGTGCCCTACTGATTAGGCTACCGGGGATCACACACACACACTCATGGGTCCTTCTTGCTACACTGCTCCCCCGCCCCAACAGGCTGTGTCGTCACGCCGTACCTACTCTTAATCTCAGGGTCGTGGGCTCGAGCCCCACTTTCGGCGCCAATGTAGTCAAATAGTCCAATAAGGACTACTAACTACATGTACAACTACTCTTGTTACTAGTGTTCTCAGTACACGCGTAGGGCTTTTAGAATGGTTATATTATCTCGAGGAAAGAGACTGGAATATCACAAAGGACTAGACTAGGAGAATAGCACAAAGAGATCGATCAAGAATAGAACTCTTCTAAAAGTGGGACATTCGCCTCCGAACCGTCATCACAACATTCCGTGCATGCGGCGTAAGGGGCACCCAGCGAAGTGTCCGCTAACACCTCATACTCAACAGTTGAACCCATATCACATTCCCCAGAATGACAATCAGCATCACTCCAAGGCAGAATGGATTCCAACCAACTATCAGCCTTACTTAATTTACTTCTATCATTATCACCAAGAGTACATAACCCCCCAGAGTGTGCAACTCCCACATACCCTGCTGTCCCGACAGAATTTCAAGTTGACGTCATTATTTATGACGCAATGCTCCTTGCACCAGTGATTTACAACATGTGTACGGGTGTCAACGCATCACACGTTTTTCTTTGCAATAATTTGTACAGGATCAGATAGGCTTCGGTCAACCACAGGTTCCGGATTCGTCTGATAATCCGTGTACAGTGCGCATTGCATCATCAAAATGATGTCAACTTGAAATTCTGTCGGGACAGCACCCATAGTGGAGTTGCACACTCTGGGGGGTTATGTACTCTTGTTATCACAAGGAGACACAACAGTTGTGTCGACAAGAGATTTGTCATCAGCAGGAACTTCTACATTACCATCGTTAATTCTACCAAGTGAGGAAGAACCCGCCTCGTGACTCAGTTTAAAGGCTGGTCACGGAAACGAACATTATGGGAGGATGGGCCATGAGGTGGGAGACCATTCCTATCATCTCTACCATTGCGTGGGCGCTGATGGGAATTATTACGAGGAGGTCCATAGCCACGGGAAGGAGGATGATACGCTCCTTGAGGGGTCTTACGGGAAGGAGGATAAAACGCTCCCTGATCCTGGGGACGGGAAGGAGGATAACATGCTCCTTGTTCCTGGGGACGGGGAGGATAACACGCTCCCTGTTCATACCCCTGATGAGGAGGGCCGGCATACACACCCTGGTAAGACTCCTGGGGATGCCCATGATAATGATCCTGCTCAGGGTGATGGGGTGGCCCATAGTACGAACCCTGGTCAAAATTACGGGGAGGAGGGTCACGATTAAATGATGAACGGGGCCCCCGGACAAAGCTTGGGGGTGGGTTGGAGTCATAAGGACGACCAGAAGGGGGATTATCATAAGTACCCTCATACGTACTCTTACGAATATTAAGTTTTGACTGCCCTTGATGGTCGGGATAGTCACTACTGCTACTTCTACCGTTAGTGGTGGTGGAGTTAGAGATGCGGGTTTCTAATTTCTCTACTGCCAAACAGAGACGGGTCAAGGTGTCCGGTTCATCTTTAACTGCACTGCTTTTGATAGAACCTCGGCGGTCGTCTCGTACAGAGGACACTGCAACTCTGTACTCATCACTTTGCTCGTGTTTAGCAGAGGCATCCGCAAAAGAGTGAGCCTCCAAATAGAGGGCTTGGCGAAGAGCGCCATGCATGGTCCTAGGCTGACTATCACGGACCCTCATGCGGAGTGACTTCCCCAACACCTGGATAAAAGACTCCATGGCGTAGTCATCTCGCTCCATTTCACCTGCTCTAGGATAGGCTCGAGCCGTCAAAAGGCGGATGTCATCTGCCAGGGTAGACAGAGACTCCCCATTTTGGCGACCTCTAGTACGCAGCTGCGCTCTTCGGACATACTGAGCTTCGGCTGGCATGTATCTTTCAATCAAAACTTGGCGAAGAATCTGGTAGTCATTTGTCTCGACCAAGGATAAGCTCAATAAAAAGCACAACGCGCTATTTCGAAGAGAACGTTTTAAAAGGAGCAGCTTGCAATGCGTCTTTTTAGCCATATCACGCCACTCGGCTTCACTAGCCATACCATCACCGCGTCGAGCCGGTGTCTTATAGCCCCTTTCACCCTCTGCCATCTTTCATCCGTGCAGATGTCGACGAAGACGAATGGCATTGCACTGGGACTAAGTTAGCATCAACAGTTGTAGTGTACAGACACTTGTGTGTGGAACTCGATTCTGAATTGACTGCAGCTACTTTGCCCTTTGTGCTTCGGCTTTTCTGAAATTCTTTCCATTCAGGGCAGTTACCTCTGATGTGTCCCGGCTCATCACATATAAAACACTTCAAAGTTCCCTTCTTCAGCTCTGGGCAATTCCGCTTGATATGCCCAACCTCTACACAATCATAGCAAAGCATAGACTTGCCTGAGGACCGGCTCGATACCATACCCGTAGCTGCAGAGACATTCCGGAGTTTACTTGTTGTAGTCTCGTTCCAGCTAGGCGCAATACACGCACACGCTTGATGCAGTTGGTTAGAGATGCAGTCTGGCCGATCAAGCTCATCATCAGTTATTTTGTGTCCAGCCAATTCTACTAATCTCTGTAAATCGGCTGCATAACTCATCCCAACCATTTGCACTAACAGCAGCCAAATACCGTGCCCAAAATATATTGAATTATTCACCTGCTGTCCCACGAAAGGGCTTCAACAATATCTCAAACCTCAACGCCACACTAACAAGGGTTTCGGTACCATAACTGTTACTGAATCGTAACAAGCTCAAACACTTGCACCCACAAAGCACTCACGCACATCAACAACAAAGACGCACTTCCTTGATGTTACACATACTTTGAAGTAGTTTCATAATACAACAATGGATGAAGAGAAGAAGAGAGAAGAGGTCATAGTTACGGTAGAACAGTAGCCAGCAGCAGCTCACGACGCCATCAGGACCGAAGAGAAAGAGGGGGAACAACTGCCTTTGTACCACGGCCAGGCAGCAACAGCCAATCCGAGAAGCTCATGTGACTACTCTATCTAGTACAACGAGTAATGAGTAGTAATTACATCATCATCAGCATACCGTATGTCTGCACCTTTAAAGCCATGGTGGTATATTCGATTATAAAGCCAGTCTCAGTTATAAAGCCATGGGCTTCATAAATGAAATGACATTTGAAGTATGTTTTTGCAAAAATGAAGGAATAAGTACTATGCTAACAAACTTACAGCCCAGCAGGAAGGGCGAATAAGTAGATTTAGATTGAAATTTCTGTGTGGACTTTGACTTTTATGGCATGGCGTAGTGGGTGAGTCATTTTGCATCTAAAATAGCTAGGAAAGCAGCGGTGTTTCGATTATAAGGCCATGGCTTTAAAGGCGCTGACATACGGTAAGTGGGAAAAGACACAAACGAGGTAAGTCATGCAATTGTTGGATTTGAACAGGCAACAGTCATCCCAAAGGTCAAGGAATTAGTAGTATTTTAAAGGTGTCGTCCACAAATATCAAGCAGAAAATATTGGTCCGTTGGGGGGGGGGGGGGGGTGGTCTTTGTTCATCTTGTCTTTGTTAAAAGAATATCGATCTCTAGATGTGGACGGGCACTGTACGGACATGTAGTTGATGACCTACAAAAAGTGAAAGTCACCCTCGTGACTATAGGCAAGGCAAGATTTTGCGACCGTGGCAATGAAAACCTAGGTGTACCATGAATTTGAAGTTGCCGTTGGTCACGTTTCACGAGGAAACCGCACTTCATTTAAAAAAAAACATCGATCCCCTGCATAAACGTGTGTATGTTCATTTTGAGGGGGGTCTGGGGAGAAATGAACAAATATCGTATTTTAAAAAAAAGTCGGTATTTACGGATGGCCCCTAGCTTGTATCAAGGCCTCACTGAGTGTCACCATGCATTGCCACTACTACTACTACTACTAGAAGCGTCTTTTCAATTCTATGCTATGTGGGTTTGTTTTCTTGATGTGCTTTTCAGACACACCGGCAGCTATATGTCAGCAGAATGAGTGGACGATCTGCAGATTGGCAGCTAGCCCGCCTGCCAGAAGCAACAGTATCTGGGGTGAGCATGAAGCGACACACATGTATTTTTTTAAAGTTCCTCATCTCCCGACAGCTGGCTGTTTCGAACTTCTTAGGACTGATCAGTGGAGTGCAAATAACACTGGGAGCCTTGAGCCGAGGCAGATCCTGTACCCAGGCAGATCCTGCACTCAGGCAGATCCTACACCAAGGCGGATCCTGCACCGAGGCGGATAACTTCAATGTAAACCAGAAAGAGTGCTGAACCAAGATGAGACAAGGGACTGAAGGGAGTGTGCTAATTAAACTAGCTAGCTGTTTCAGGCTTCTTAGGTTTCAGCAGTGGAGGTCAGAGCACCCCACTGCAAATGTGGGATGTTTTTTTTGCTGTTGAATTTCCACCTGAGGAGCTGCTCGTACACTTGCCATAGGAATAACTGGCCACTCCAGTGGTTGAGCCTGGTGAGGTACTTGCGGTAGTCGAGCGTGAGGGGCTGCGAGACTGGGTATCCAGTCTGCGTTCAACTTGCAAACTTGTATGAACAAGTCTGTAAAGAGTCACAAATCCCTCAAAATCTCGTCAGGCAATAACAAGGAATGATGGTGTGCTGTACATGCAGGAAATATATACAAAATATCATGTACACATCCCAAAAAATTGTCAGGCAGATGTCGCTACCCAGTTGGGTCCTTTGAGTCTCTGTGTTTTTCTCCAGTTGCTTGTACGCCAAAGTATTACAGTAAATATTATGATACTATTCGTGTATTCATTTATGCTTCTGGTTGACATCCCACCGTCTGTTGTCTCTCCAGATGTACAACGTTCTAGATGTAGCTGATGGCATGGCACTTATTCACGTTGACAGTGCAGGTGAGAGCTGGGACTGATTCTGCATCATGGCATCCTGGTTCAGACTTGAATGGCGTGCAGTGCAAGCTTAGTGTAGTACCATTGCTGCAGACTCTGTTAACTTGATAACTTACACACAGCTTACCAGGATTGCTATTGGCTGTAGTGAGAAGAGTGTTGCAGGTTGCTGGGTACAGTAGTGACGTGCGGAAAGGTCAACACACACTTGATGAGCATATCTGTTACTTTATGGTGGGAGAGCGAATGGCCACGCACAAATACGTACTGGTCATTCAAACGATTGCTTGGAGGTATTCCGGTTCTCGGAACGACATTCTACTGTTTACTTGAGATTAATTGAGAGGTAACTTGATTTCAATACCACTGAAAACATCTGTCGAGACAAGTCAGAGCAAAAGGAAATGGGTGGGAAAAAGGATCCACTGGCTCACTACGTATGCTCTGGCCTGAGAGCTTCAAACCTGTATGCCCGCATCGTGTGCATCAAGACGTCAGCATGACATACACATGACGTACATGAACGAATAATGACATTATTAATAACAAATGTAACGCGGATTCGTGAAATTCACGACACTTCGTACTGTGTGACGCGGGCTATTGTAGCATGGTATGCACATCAGGTCTGGAGATGTAAGGGCCGTGAGAAATGAGGCTCTGCTGCTGCTGCTTTATGTGGATCATCTCACGGTGTGCACCACTGTTGTCGGTGTGTGTCTTGCAGGCGATGGCGGTGGAAGTATCTTCATATCTGACTCATCTGGTGTTTATTTTACGAAGGCCTTGGATGATCACATTGTAAGTGATTCCTTGTGATGACGTCAAATATAACCATTCTTAGGTCCAGTCTCTCCGGAGGCGTCGGTTCCAATCCCATCGCTGCGACCAGTGTTCGCTGCTCTGGGTCAACAGTTCTTTCCCAGGAACTCTCGTAGGACAGTCTTGTAGTTTCATTAGGACAATTATAGGATGGGGTATAGGAAAGAAGGAAGTACGGATGAAGCATAAAAATGCAGGAAGATAAAGGACGAGTGACAAGAACCACTGGAGCATGCGCTCTTCCGTAGCTGATGGATGATTCCGCATAATCACTGCGGGAAACGAAGCAGGAACAGCTGTATTGATGCTAAGTGCTACTTGTGCTTGTGTTCTCCTCTCTGCCTTCCCTAGCAATTATCTGGCCCTGGCAAAGGGTCAGACTTCTACAAAGTGAAGTCAGCTCGGGGCACGTACATCACCAGTATTGCTGTAGCCGGTGAGTTTTGCCAGGAGACCTTGTCATCCATCTTTTTGTTACCATCCGTTTGTTTAGTGGTGGCTATAGGTACATGCAAGTGCGTTGTACGGAGGCTGCATTTTTATGATGGCTGCGCGTTTGAGTGCTTAGCTTAGTCTTTGCAATGTTGGAGCTGTCCGGTGCCGATTTGTTCATGTGTTTTTCTATCCCTTGCTGCACTAGGATAATGTACTGTTGTAACTTGTAAGGGGTCGTTGTGGGTTTTTTTGTTCGTCCCGGAAATGAACATTTTTAGTATATCCTGTGAGGTAAGGCAGCCAAGTAGGGGATCGGCAGTTGGTTAGTGTAGGTGTTGGTGTTCTAGTTGCAAGCGTACATGTGTACTTGGCACACTGTGTAGTGTTTGTGCTGATTGACTATTCCTTTGTGTGCTCTGGTTTTCAGGGAGTGAAACCATCCTCGGCTCCCTTGTGGCATCTCGAATCAGTTTTGATCGGGGTGCACGCTGGCAGCCCATTCACATTGAAGACTGTACGAACGGAGGGGTGAGTAGTGCTTGGTTTTAATATGCTTCTTTTTCATTATAATAATTATTAAACCCAGTCAATCATTTGTGACAGGTTGTTACTGCTAATTGCAACTGTGACATTCTGCAAGCTTTTCATAGACTGTATTCGAACTCAAAAGGGTTTTCTGCATGATTTTTCTCCACACCGAGTTGTCACACCACGACCAGTGCTGGTGCAATCTTTCACGTTGTTTCTGCTGTTGCTGTGCGTATGTCCTTTCTGCCATGTTAGGATGCATGCTCACTGCACATCCACGGCATACTGAGTCTGCAGCATGGTCTTATCCGGCAAGTACCTGCTAGTGACCCAGGTGCACCAGGTCTCATCATAGCTCATGGTAAGATTTCTCATTTGTACTGGCACCGTTATCAGCCCTTCGAGTGTATTCTCTCTTCTTTTTTTAAAGAGAACAGCAAACATATCGACACCATCGAACAGTCCCAAACCACACATCCATCTCTGAATGATGGATAATTTCCTCCAGTTTTTTTTTGCCATTGTAGGTTGATGCGTTCATGATTACCAATGCGCTTATTGAGATGAGGGTACTTTCCCCACCGCACGTTAGCACAATCCATGCTGCGGGGTCGGTTGTGAGCAACCTACATTGTGCTCATAGCTCACACACGTACATGCATGCTAGTGTGTGAATCCGCTGCTTATGTCACCTATGTTGCTAATTATGACGCCTGGTTACCCTGGTTACCTGCCTGGCCCGTAGCATGGGTGGAAACTCTTGGAGAGCTGACGTATTTTTGTGTGCTAGGCAAGAGGCGAAGAGAAGTAATAGAAGAAATAATATTTTCTCACGTCCTACTAAGCGATTTCTACCAACCGAAATTATCCCGTCTGCGTGTTTGCTTGGTACTGGCTTGATAAGTATTGGACATAGTGCGCAAGTTAGTGCAACTTTTATTATGTTGAGATTTGCACGATCCTTGTATGCTGGATGTGAAGAGTGGCAATGCTGTTATACCTAGTTGTACGTGTGTACTTCGAAGTAGGTATGTCACTATGTCAGTATGTGTGTGATGTCTCGTGCAAAATGTATCACTATGCGGTGTTTGACCAGTACAATAACACTTGGTGCTCGTGCTGTGATTATCAGTTGTGACCCTCGCCTTATAAACACTAGACAAGACCAGGCTCTGGCTCTCTCTCTCTCTCTCTCATCCTTGCTTGATGTGCTCAGGTGTATTCGAATGAAGTTTATTGGCTTGTGTAGTTTACGCATTTTAGCTATTGTTGTTCGGTAGAACTGCCCTCTTCCTGTTAGCATGTGTTACTCGGGAGTCGCAGGCCACATGGCTTGGTACATGGGTTTGCACATGGCTTGGTGTGGCATCATCTAGCTGTTCTGAATATGTCCTGTTACTGTAGTCTCAGCCTGCATCACTGTCACTTGCTGCTTCTGCTGCTGTTGGTGCTGCTGCTGCTGCCACCACCACTGTTACTGTTGCGGCTGCTGCTGTTCTCATTGTATAGGTAACACGGGGAAGAGTCACTCTAGAATCGTGGATATCTACCTCACCCTTGATGGCGGCTACCAGTGGAGGAAGGTTAGCTTACCGTAATGTCGCGTATAAAAGCAGTTGCTAACGGCTGTATAAGCCGGGGTTCAAACCATGCTTCTATTCAAGTTATGCTTTTATTTAAAACATGCTTCTACGTCAAAATCTCCAGTCTACACTGTACATTGCACATAGCCATGCATATAGTGTGCACATACATGTACTTGGACGTATGCTTCTATTCAAATCATGCTTCTGTGTCACGGTGCTCTTCAAAAATCGGCTTCTATACGGGTCATGCTTTTATACGCTACACTACAGTATTATCATTGCATGCTTTAATACCTTGTGGTGTGTAGCTTCAACTGCTGATAAATTCCTGGCCAATGGTGTCTGTGTGTAGCATGGTGGTGCCAGATCATCTGACTTTGTGCACGTGAGGATGATGTGATATGTTATCTTAAAATGCAAAAGAGATACAGGTCCTATGTCTGAAGGGCATCACCTGCAGGCATGCTGCTCATGTACTATGTGTGATGAGGGGCAACACATGCAGGCATGCTGCTCATCCACGCAAGCAAGATCTCTCTTTGGTTTTTTTGTCATGATCCTAAGGTGTTGGCTGGTCCTCATTTCTACGCCATTGCCGATCAGGGAAAGCTGCTCGTGGCTGTTCCTATAGCGAAGGACCATACCGCAGACACAATCTAGTAAGTTTTTTTCTTTTTTCCGTTGGCTCGTTGGCAGGCTTATGAAATTGCTCAAGTTGAATTTCAACGAGGCTCATTCATTAGCTCTTCCGACTGTTTCTTGATCTTGTTATCAGAGGAGTGAAGTAGGACTGCTGCTCTGTGCGTGTGTATGTCTGCTTTGGGCCTTCTGACTTTCCTTCTCTCTTGTCCTGTTTTGTTGCGGCTGACATGTGTGTTCGGTCAGCTTTTCAGAAAATCACGGTGAGTGTTGGTCGAAAGTAAAGTTCAGCACAGTACCGTGGCACTTCACCGGAATGGAGGCTGATCCCAAGGCGCTTGGACTCAAGGTCAGTCAGCTCCATGCGCTAGTGAACAGTTGTTGTGGGCTTCGATGACTACATACCTTTAGGGTGCCTGTTGTGCCTGAAGTACGAGCTTGTATGTGTAAAATTGGATCAGTGAAGCTGGTGCCTGTTGCAGGGGTAATACTCCGTGAGGATATGTGGTTATCTCTACTTTTTGGTAGAGGAGTAGTGGAGTACCTTATTGTGTGGGGCAATGAAAAAATAGTTGAGGAATTTCCAAGTAACTGCTCTTTGTTAAATAGCTGGCTCTGATCTTGTTTGCTCAGCCAATGGCGAGTTTTTCATCTGTATATCCTTGGTTGTGTTCCCCTTTCCAGGTGACACTATGGGGTTATACCCCAGCTGATGGACTCTGGCAGACCATGGAGGTGGATTTCTCGGATGTCATCGAAAGGCAATGTAAGTTTGAATGAAAGACAACTGCAAAGAGAAAAAAGGTACAGACTTACCTTCGAACTGGTCGTTGTCGCTACTACAACTCACACATAAGCCTGTCTTGTATAGAAGCCTGTCTCATAATAGACGCTTGTGAAATCTCCCAAGAAAAGTCGATTCCCAACGAACGGAGCTGAACTAAGCCCTTTTCCAGGCCGGGGTGGGGGGGGGGGGTCATGTGACGGAAACCCACCCCCACCCCCATACTCGAAGGCACATGGACATTGTGGCTGGTGTTGAGGTACACTTGCATCACGAACTATGGACATTTCTCTGCCACGGCTGCCATTCTGTGCAAATATCGAACACGGCAAGAGTCAGCTGGTACATGTTTACAACAATGCTGGCATGTTACTCTTGTGTGTTCTGTGTGCAGGTGCAGATGATGATTTTAACCAGTGGAGTCCGCATGCACAAGGCGAAAAGGACGGCTGTCTTCTAGGTTACAGGGAGACGTTTGATGTCATCAAGCCTAATGTCTGGTAAGGCGCTCACTTTTCCTCTAGACATGCAATGAATTGAACCCTCTTGTAATGATGTTTCATGCCGTAACTCGAGAGCAACAGATTCTGATTGCACGTCTTTGTCAAGCAAATACATGTATCGTGTATTATTTTTGTTCACCGGGTGCACCGTTGACGTATTATGGGAGCCATGATGTGATTCTGTTCATTTCGGTCGTTGTTTTCCTAGGTGCTTTATTTCCGACGATGCTAAGAAGGGCCGAGTAGAGCCGTGTCCATGTGGCTTGGAGGATCTTGAATGGTAAGCTGAGCCTTGTCGGCCCCACGTGTTCCAGGTGGCCTGTGCAGTGCTGCGTTGTGTTCATCAGTCTCGCGTGTGCCGCCTGGGTATACTGTGTAGTGTTAGTGTGTAGTGTTACTGTGTAGTGTTACTGTGTAGTGTTACTGACAATTGTTAGTGTGTAGTGTTACTCGCCAAGATCAGGCAATGGCCCTCTCCTCCCTCAGGGATACCCTGAGTGACGACCACAGGCGGACTCTGGATCTAGCCGCAGAGAAAGGTGCCTCCAGTTGGCTCACTAGTCGGCCATCTCGCCGGTTCCAGTTTACCATCCACAAGGCTGGCTTCCGGGATGCCCTATGTCTGCGCTACGGCTGGACCCCTCCCCGGTTGCCGTCTCACTGCACCTGTGGAAAGCCCTTCGACACCACCCATGCCCTATCATGTGCCATCGGAGGATTCACTGGGATGCGCCACAACGAGCTCCGGGATCTAACCGCTAATCTGTTGCGTGAGGTTGCGCATGATGTCAGCGTGGAGCCAGAGTTGGAACCCCTCTCTGGTGAAACATTCCCTCTCCGGTCGGCCAACACGGAGGCTCATGCTCGTCTTGATGTGGCAGCACGTGGAGTGTATGGGAGTAGGTTAGAGAGGACAATGTTTGATGTTCGGGTGTTTAACCCTTTTGTCCCCTCCAACCGAAACCTTACTCTCCCGTCTGTCTACAGAAAGCACGAGCAGGAGAAGAGGCGTAAGTATGAGCGGCGAGTCCTGGAGGTGGAGCATTCCTCGTTTGTTCCCGTGGTTTTTGCAACCACTGGCGGCCAGGGGAAAGCTGCTTCGGCCCTCTTCGCCAGGATTGCCAGCAAGCTGTGTGAAAAGCGCCGTGAGCCTTTCCCGGTTATGATGGCTTTTGTACGGGCGAAGATCTCCTTTTGCCTTGTTCGGGCAATGATTGCCAGTCTACGTGGTCACCGTCGGAACCCGCCTCGACATCTGTCTGGTTCGGCTGTGCTGGCGGCTGCTGAATGTGCCCTGGTGCCATAAACGGTGTACATGATACAGTACAGTTTCTTTGGTAATGGTGTTTCATTTACTTTTGTATTTTCAGCTCGTTTTCTTTGTATTTAACTCCTCATTGTTTTGTTTTCTACCAGGCGTGGGCCATCCCCTGACTTCATAGGTGCCAAACATTAAATTTTTACGTTTTTTTTCTGGCGTCTTTAGGTTAATTTTTCATGACACGCTCGGAATCGAAAAAAAAAAAAAAAAAATTTTGGATATGTGTAGTGTTACTGTGTAGTGTTACTGTGTAGTGTTACTGTGTAGTGTTACTGTGTAGTGTTACTGTGTAGTGTTAGTGTGTAGTGGTACTGTGTAGTGTTACTGTGTAGTGTTACTGTGTAGTGTTACTGTGTAGTGTTACTGTGTAGTGTTACTGACAATTGTTAGTGTGTAGTGTTACTGTGTAGTGTTAGTGTGTAGTGTTACTGTGTAGTGTTACTGACAATTGTTAGTGTGTAGTGTTACTGTGTAGTGTTACTGTGTAGTGTTACTGTGTAGTGTTACTGACAATTGTTAGTGTGTAGTGTTACTGTGTAGTGTTACTGTGTAGTGTTACTGTGTAGTGTTACTGACAATTGTTAGTGTGTAGTGTTACTGTGTAGTGTTACTGACAATTGTTAGTGTGCTATACTCACTGGGCTCTTGTACTGGAGAGTGCCAGGTTAGTGGATCACTGTGGTGTTTGCTTGCCTGGCTGGCTGGCTAGCTGGCTGGCAGTGGGTGTCCTTCATGTGCACTGTGCTGCTGCTTTCTTGCTGCTATTCTCTAGTGACTTTGGCTATGTGTGGAATGCTGACAAGACCGAGTGTGTGCTGGACAAGACTGTGCCTGCTAATATCAGCCGTGGTATGCTATGTTCTACGGGCCAGAAATTCTACAATGCTTCCAAGGGGTGAGTGGCGATGCTGAAGCTCTGTGACAGGACAGTTCCATTAATGAATGTGTCAGCTCCACATTGTATTCCCCATGGTTGCAAGTTGTCTTGAGCATGAGTGATGTTTGCTTTAGTCTGCACATTATTAGGCTTAATGAATGTTGCATGCAGTAGCATAATTCCCGGTGGAAATCTACTCGAGTATGACCTGCAACACTCCACCGGTTCCTCGTTATCATGTCTGATCCGCTGGGATGTGTACCTTCCAGTTAATCCTGACATTTCCTGTTACTATGTGCGTGACTTGCACGTTTGCATGTGTCCATGTGTGTGTATGTGTGTGTATGCGTACAGGTACCGTCGGATAGCTGGTGATCTGTGTACGAATGGCGTTGTGGATAACCTGGTCAAGTTCACACAGCGCTCTTGCATAGGACACGTGTCCAACCCACCCAACTTTGGTGACAGCAGCGTGCAGAAGGTAAGTGCAGGCTCTGTACGCACACACACACATTGTGATTGTTCTCCTGCAGTCCTTGTCATGTTGATACAGTAATGCCTTTCACCATTGTCTGCGGCTGAATCCCTCTGGTTCAGTACCAAAAGCTGACCAGCATGCGACTTTATTCAATCTAATGCCAACATCAGATCAGGTGTTGCAGCTAGGCATTGGGTAATGCACAATTACAAAGACATCATGTGTTGCAGCTAGGCATTATGTAATGCACAATCACAATGACATCATGTGTTGCAGCTAGGCATTATGTATTGCACAAACACAATGACATCATGTGTTGCAGCTAGGCATTGTGTATTGCACAATCGTAACTTCATAAGGACAACGCCGGTCTCTATCCTGTGTTTCACTCCTTGCCTGGATTAGCACAAGCATGCCAGCATAGTGGTGGCGGTGATCTTCGGCTCCGTGACAGTTGTCGTCTTGGTCTACATTGTGTACAAGTTTGGTCTGCCAAGAAGAAGGTTAGTATAACTGCGAAACTACTTGATGCATTTCAGAATTCTGAATTGCACGTCTATCAGACTCTAAATATGCAGCTGGTACATGTGTACGGGTTTTGATCTCTAAAAAAGTGGAGCAAAAGTGATTGTTGATGTAAAGGTTACATTAGTGAGGTCATCGCATATGACATGTATGGAGGTCACGGGTTCCTCAGTGCATGTTTCGTATTCATTGGCAAGCAGTGGTATAAGATTCGAATGGCAAGTTTGTATTGAGTGGCAAACCATGCGGTGCCACATGTGCCTGTAGTTGTGTATAGCGAACCATGCAATGCTACATGTAGTTGTGTATGGCAAACCAGCACCCACTGTGTCGCCGTGACTTGGCCACTCCACGCAAATCAAGTCATATGGTGACACTAGAGAGGTTCCGGGGTACGATTTTCCGTGCCAAAATCCGTATGGGCGCTACGGATTTTTTCCAGGCGTGCTCCATACGATTTTTCGGCACGGAGAATCCGTGTGGACTGGCTTTCATACTAACCATGTTTCGTATGGAGATTTTGCGTCATCGGGTGCAGAAAGATTTTTCGCGTACAAATTTGGTACGAGAAACATCGATTTTTCGCGGGAAGTTTTGATATCGGTACAAATTTTCAAAATAAAAAGGCATAGCGCGGGAATGTGACGTGTTTGCGATCGTAACCTAGGCAATGACGGCAAAAACATAAGTTCCGCACCCGGAACTTTTCACTGCTCGAAAACGACGTATAAAAAATCCGTAGAGCCTCCATGAGCCTCCACGGATTTTGGCATGAAAAATCGTACTCCGGAACCTCCCTAATATCACATAACCCTTCCATAAGTGGTTTGTTCGTCTTGTGAATCCTTGTTTAACCCACACTGCAGAGGCCGTTACAACTACAGCTACAGTGCGCTGCGCACAATGGAGGATGAGCCTAGCGACGCCGAAGGCAGCGCTGCAAGTGCCAGTGCTGCACGCACACTTGCAGATGTGCACATGGATGACGAGGATAGCGATGTCCGGATAGTGGTCAGTGATAGATTGATAGGACATTGGGCAAAGGCTGCAAAGCAAATTGTTGTTGTTGAGTTTGCGCTGAAAAGTGTACTGCTGTTTTCAGCCTTCTGGTGGACGGAGAGCAATCATTAATTCTAGCCATTGCAGCCGCACACCACAGTAACATCCATGGCCAGGGACTGGGATTATGTAGCTGTTGGTGCTCTATGTGTTGAAGTGGGTCTTTCTCTCATTATTTCTATGGTGTGTGGCGTGGTGGAGACCAGCATTGTACCCATGGAACAAACCGTTACAAAAGCAATTTTAGTTAGTTACCGAACTTAAAGATTATGGACGTTGCGGTATGCTGTAGCTAAAAATCAAAAGGAGACCAAATTGTGCGTCACAGTCTGTCACTATAAATTTGCTACTACGTACGGAGTACAAGCTACTCCGTGCCCTGTGTCTGTAAACCAAGTGTATAATAAGGATACGAGGCTAGGGCTACCAGAATTGAATGTGCTCTTTCTGTGACTCTGAACAACACAAACCTATAAAATGGTGCGATCTTTTCACTGCACGCCTACTTGGTAGACCACGGAAAGTGTGTACTTCCTATTTCATGCCTGGTGAAGGTTTTTCAAGTCAGTGAAATCTGCTTCTGGCAGATTTTCTCCTTTTTGGTGGTCGGATGTGTAGCATTGAAACTACTGGAGAAACAACCAGTATAGAGTAGAAAACCACCACAAAGCTCTCATTGTGGTATTTTTGTGTTTGATTTCAGAAACCATGAGATGTGACCTCAGCGTACTGTGATCTCAGCGTATTGTGACCTCAGCGTATTGTGACCTCAGCGTATTGTTATCTCAGCGATCAGTGATCTCGGCTTATCCTTGAAATCCCATTTCGAAGTGCACACACATCATGCCCCATGCATGTATTTCCGCAGTATTTCGGACTTCCACTCGCAAGTTCTTGATGTCTGTGCTTATTTCATGGAAACAAACTACCGTTGCTACTGCTGTGAGAACGGGTTTACCGTTGTTGCTACTGCTGTGAGAGCGGGTTTACCGTTGTTGCTACTGCTGTGAGAACGGGTTTACCGTTGTTGCTACTGCTGTGAGAGCGGGTTTACCGTTGTTGCTACTGCTGTGAGAACGGGTTTACCGTTGTTGCTACTGCTGTGAGAGCGGGTTTACCGTTGTTGCTACTGCTGTGAGAACAGGTTCACCGTTGTTGCTACTGCTGCTGCTACTGCTACACTACTGGTGCTACTGCTGTACCTGATGTTGTTGTTCAATGACAGCAGTGCTTTTTCGGAATTAATTACGCCCAACACAATTTTTAGTTGCATTCTTTCACAAACGCCAAATTGCACACCGGACAACATCAACATTTGACCAAATCTGTTAGACAAGCAGACAACTATTATGGGTTTTAACATGTTTTCTGTATTTCTTGTGAATAGATTTATGTAGCTTTTAGGTGAAGGCGGCAGCTTATGATGAATTTTTTTATGATAAAGCTATATTGCGGCCAATTAGGTTTGTGTGTTGTTGGTTACCACTGTGGTGTATCGCATTGTGGCTTTCGACAATTCAAATCCATATTGAAGTGGGCACTTGCAAGCAAAAAAAAGGCTGTGCTGATTTTGTTTGTGCACCGCACTCACTTCAGCATAATCATCATGAAATGTGTGTTGTCTCAAGCTCTGAAGCATGTCAAGAAATGCAAATTTTACGCGAAATTAGCACAGTACCCGCCAGTACCCGCCGGTCTGGTATTTTTTTCCTCTGGGGTGGTTGTCACCACTTGAAGAGACACCTTTTATCTGCCTACTGCTGGGCTTGCTGAGCGATCCCGTGAGCCGTTGCCTTTGTCAAAACTCTTCGATTTCCTGGAAATAAAGGCACAATGAATAAAACGGTACTTTGGGCATGTTCGATTGCACGAATCCATCAGCCCCAGACCCGGATTCGCCAAATTGTACATGTTGGATTGTACGAATCCGGATCCCGAGAGCACGGATTCGGATCCAGTCAACCCACCTCCCAGAGACGGATTCATTTCCATGGTACGACTCATATCCACTCAAAACTCCCAATATGCGTACACTAGGTCAAGAGTTTACCACAATTCGTACAGATACTACGGGATGAGCTGTAGAAACGCGGTTGCTAAGGCCTTGAAACGGATTATCGGTTGTGCACATTCGATTGTATCTGTCAGATCGAAGTGATCTGGTCGGCGGGGATCGGGATCCAGTTTCTACAATCGAATGCAGCCTTAAGCGGGATTCACAGAAGCTTTTTTTGCGATGCGACGGACGCGTGCGATGCGAACTTGCGAAATACCATTCACAGAAGAAGTCAGTGATGCGACAACATCTTGCTGATTTGGCAACGTCACCATGATATTCGCGCGGTTTGGTACAACTTGTACAAATGTATAGGCAACTCTTGAACCTTTGTGCAACTTTGCTGTAGAAAAGGTAAAAATCGTACGCCAAATCGCTTGTCGCATCGCATCGCAAAAAGTTGAGCCAAGCTCAACTTCTGCGCTGGCCTGCGATGGCCCAGTTGCGGCAGTGGCGTGGGGTGCAACATGGCTGCGATTTGGATTGGGATTCCCGGTTTCGCGCATGTCGCCTCGCGTGTCGCATCGCAAAATATCTTCTGTGAATCCCGCTTTAGGAGAATAAGAAAAGAGAAGTCGAAGAAACTGGGATTCTTCAAAAACGGGTCTCGAAGAATTCGGAGATATTTTGCAGATGTCAAGCAAAATGAAACGCCAAAGGGGCCGCGATCTTGAGTGCCACGAATATAGTATGCGCTGTGCGTATGCGAAAATGGAAATGCGTACACTCGTGATCAACACGTGGCTTTTAGCCTAGTTCGCATGCGCTGATCCCAAACCGCGGGAATCTCCAAGTTCAACCACCTCTGAAGCTTCGAGAGCCTCCTAAAATTCGGAGAGGATATAAGAACAGCTCTCGAACTTTTCGGAGAGTCTCCAATTTTTCCGAGAGGATTTAAGAACGCACCCTAAGTAATGAGGCAAGTGGCATTGCAAAAAAACGTCGCAGAAGTTGAAGAAAAGTCAACTTTCGCGACATGAGACGTGCGACGTACACACCTGGATCATGCATGGTGTACAGTTTCTACCCTGGGTGCACGTTCAGTGCACGTGCATAGTACTATCTTACTAGTGCATAAGGATGTCGCAAAAATATGAAAATGATTGTGAACCGTGTGTCGATAGCTGTCGCATGTCGCATCGCAAGAAGTTGTCTTGTGAATCGGCTTTAGCATTGGATAAGGCTCCAACCGCACTAGATAAAAAATATACGCACGTAAAAGGCGAAAATATGTGTATATCACAGCCAGCAGCCGCACTGCTGGTTGTATTGCATTTTTTCCAGCCCAACCGCTATCAGGTGAGTATTGAGGTGCATGAAATTCAGAAGATTCAGTACAAAAAAGCTGCTTATACAGGGTCCGCGACTTGCTGAATCATATATGGATCTTTTTAGATTTCCCGTACGTGTCCTTGACGACTTACACCAAAAAGCGGCATTTAGAGGCGATTTACACTTAATGCGCACGCGGCGGAGCAGATCGCCACCGCCGCCGCCGCCTACGGAGCCGGCGACCACGGAACGGCATTATACATAATTATCGAGGACGAGCCAGCTCACCCACCGACTGACCCAATACTAACACCGGTACCAAACGATAACACTCTGGCACCTGACGAGCCACCGCCATTGGAGCATCTAGCTGGACAGATGCCACCAATGGACGGCCTGCTACCCGCCGACGTTGTTTGGAGAAAACACCAATCCTTATTTTGGCCAGTCCTTAAAAAGCTTCGTGATCATAAAAGTAATCTGCAGTCGGCAGGCATCGATTTACTTGATGAGCAGGTCCGCCGCTCAGCAAAGACACCGCACCCGTCACTTTAAGCCAAAGAAAATGGGCCACGACCCATCCGATGAGCAACTAGCGCAAATCGCTGCGGAAACTAATCTAAAAGTCCTTGACGTCGAGCTTGCTAGACACGAAAGCATATACAACGAAGCCCAGAAAAAAAACTAAATACGGCAATCACAGATCTTCCAAGATCCATCAAGTAGAGGAAAAAATGAACAACACTAAACTAATCCATAGACCCGGCCTAGCTAAATATACACTCACTTTATCAGATGCCTACAATACCCCTAAGCAAAACAAACAAACTAATGACCACAGAAACATAAAGAAACCAGTGCCACACAAACCACCAGCCCGGCAGCACGTCATGGCTACACAGCCTTTGCTGCCGCGGCCGCCATCTAACTATGGACATCCACCCGCTTATAGGCACCACGTACCACGTACAACACGTACAACACAATTCAATTGTACAACACAATTGTACAACACAATTCAATGCAAAGGAACACAATTTCTGAATAAATGTACGCACTCGGATGGAGAGCCAAGGATACATTTATACCGCATGTCAGCGCCTTTAACGCCATGGCCCTATATTCGAAACGCCACTGCTTTCCTAGATATTTTATATGCAAAATGACTCACCCACTACGCCATGCCATAAAAGTCAAAGTCCACACAGAAATTTCAATCTAAATCCACTTGTTCACCCTTCCTGCTGGGCTGTAAGTTTGTTAGCATAGTACTTATTCCTTCGTTTTACTAAACGTACCTAAAACGTCATTTCATTTATGAAGCCCTGAGACTGGCTTTATAATCCAGTATACCGCCATGGCTTTAAAGGTGCGGACATACGGTAGTAAAGAAGAAACGACCAAGAAACTACAAGTTACGATTAAGATGTGCTAGAGCTGTTAGCCAGTTAGTTGTAGAACGTCAGTACTGTCGGTCAGGCTCGTGCAATGTTATCGCATGAGCTGATTGTTTAGCAACTGTGGTGTTAGTGGACACTATAGAGTAACTTGTAGTTCCTTGGTCGTTTCTTGGTCGTTTCTAAATCGTTTCTTCTTTACTATAAATGTAGGAGTAATGGTGAAGTAGTGGAACGGGACCGTCCAGTGGTTCCAGTGGTATGGGTTACAAGCTTGTTTCAATATCGCTGTGATAGATCATCAGACCAATGGAGGGGTATGTGGTGGAACGGTCCCTTATCAGTAGAACATTTTGAAGTGAAAATACGCACAGACCATCACATTCATCCACACAGTATCACATTCATCTGCCACTACCTTTCTCACATACACTATATTCACACATTGGAAAGGTGCAAACTTCGCTTTTTGTACTTGCTCGCTGCTGTATTTCTACCTGAAACCATATTAGCTACTTTTGAAGTACATGTATATAAGTGTGTGCTTTAGTTATTACATTTTTATGTGACGCCGTTCCACTGATGAAAGTCACAAGAAAACGCTATGGAACTTAACTTTCTTCATTTTTTGCTGTTGTTATTGAACAATTGATCTTATTTAGTGCCATTTTAGTAACATCCACGATAGTAGATACGTATGTTTGCGAGAGCGAGGTCGAAAGTGCACTCGGAGATTCGGCATGTTTGTTCGGAAAAGCCCACTTTGTAGAGCGTATTTTTCGGAAGAATTCTCGTAGAAGAGCGTGCTTTATTCAAAAAAGGTTTCTTATCTCAACATGACTTCGCACGTCGACATCAGCATCGTCAGCTGCCTCTAATTGCTATTCTCAATATATCCACGTTGCATATTTGAAAGTTTCACACGACGATCGTTTCTTCGTATGGATAAGGACGGCTCATCAGGTGTGCAAAATTGCTACTTTAAAATAGACTCGGATGGTGAGCCAAGGATGGTGAGCCAAGGATGGTGAGCCAAGGATGGTGAGCCAAGGATAGTGAGCCAAGGATGGTGAGCCAAGGATGGTGAGCCAAGGATGGTGAGCCAAGGATGGTGAGCCAAGGATGGTGAGCCAAGGATGGTGAGCCAAGGATGGTGAGCCAAGGATGGTGAGCCAAGGATGGTGAGCCAAGGATGGTGAGCCAAGGATGGTGAGCCAAGGATGGTGAGCCAAGGATGGTGAGCCAAGGATGGTGAGCCAAGGATGGTGAGCCAAGGATGGTGAGCCAAGGATGGTGAGCCAAGGATGGTGAGCCAAGGATGGTGAGCCAAGGATGGTGAGCCAAGGATGGTGAGCCAAGGATGGTGAGCCAAGGATGGCGAGCCAAGGATGGCGAGCCAAGGATGGCGAGCCAAGGATGGCGAGCCAAGGATGGCGAGCCAAGGATGGCGAGCCAAGGATGGCGAGCCAAGGATGGCGAGCCAAGGATGGCGAGCCAAGGATGGCGAGCCAAGGATGGTGAGCCAAGGATGGTGAGCCAAGGATGGTGAGCCAAGGATGGTGAGCCAAGGATGGTGAGCCAAGGATGGTGAGCCAAGGATGGTGAGCCAAGGATGGTGAGCCAAGGATGGTGAGCCAAGGAAACGCTATAATGTCCACTATCACTAACACTGCTTATTGTCCACTAACACTGCTTATTGTCCACTAACACTGCTTATTGTCCACTAACACTGCTTATTGTCCACTAACACTGCTTATTATTATTATTATTATGAAATGACCCAAAGGCAATGTGCCTATCGAGGGGTTCATTTGATTGAAAGAACAGTAGATGTAGATGTATGTACAAAGAGAAGTAGGGATTGATGAGGAGAGAAATGGGGGAAAATCAACTGCAAGGTGGCGGAATTCCGTTGATTGCATAAGCATAGTCTATTATTGTCCATCTAAATTGTCATAGTCGAAGTACAGTGCTGTTTTACTGAGGCGCTCGGTTTTGCATGATTCTTGTTCGCAGAGCTTCCCCTTTTATTGATCTTCGCATGTTTTGAGCCACGCACGTTGTGTGGAATGTTGCTTTGCGTCCTTGAATCGTGGATTGACCGTATTGTCCAATGGTCTTGCCAGTATCGTCATCGACATGCATGAACATCCGCCAACGTCCTTCACAGCCGAGACTTTCAGCTCGTGCTTGTTTTGGTTGTGCTCACCTTCCCTGCCTCATGTTATTTCTATAACTTAGAACCTTCCAAGTTGGAAGGCTGTTGGAGTGCGCATCAAAGATGTGCTAGAGCTGTTAAGCAGTTAGTTGTAGAACGTCAGTACCGTCGGTCAGTGTCGTGCAGTTATCGCATGAGCTGATTGTTTAGTAACTGGTGGTGTTATTCTTTTCTATAAATTTATCCTTGGCTCTCCATCCGAGTCCATTTTGCACACCTGATAAGCCGTCCTTATCTATATGGCGAAACGATCGTCGTGTGAAACTGCTGCTTGTTACCACTGCTTACTGTCCATCTAAATTGTCATAGTCGAAGTACAGTGCAGTTTTACTGGGGTGTTCGCTTTTGCATGCCTATTTGAAAGTATTTTTCTTTATTCTTTATTTTATTGCCGATTGTCATCGCATCTGAGGTACATGTGCAGTGGAATTCAAAACCATTAAAACTACACACACACACACACACACACACACACACACACACATACTGTAATAATAGGTCTGTTTACCCGGTTATCGGATACAATTCTGCATACTGTCCCTCCCCCATATCATTAAGTGTTTGACTTTGTATAGCAGGATGGCATTAACACTTACCAGGACGCTGGAGAGATATCGCGGATTAACTTGCGCAACGTTGAATAGGAGCCCGCCTGGGGTGCTAGCTGGCTGCGTCGTCCTTTTCCCGAAGCACGGCTTGGCTGGCTACGTCGGGATCCTTGAGGTACTTGAAGGCTGACACTCCTGTATAGCATGATAGTAGTGATAGTACACACACACACGCACACACACACACACACACACACGTACACACGTACACACACACACACACACACACACACACACACACACACACACACACACAAGCACACACACACACCTCAGACCTCAGACCTGCCCATTGCGGAAGCGATGATAGCGAACAGCTATGTTAGACATAGCAACTTGTGCTGGGATTACACCATTCAACAGCTTGCAAGGCTGATGAACTGACCGCCACTAATTTTAGCCTGGTATCCACCACACAGCTGATTGAAGCGGCTTTTCTGGCCAGTGAATCCCTATTTTTCATTTTTCCCATTTTTTTTATTCTTTTTCTTTTTTTACACACACACGCCATGGTGCCACACGACATACTCCGGCATACACTGGCTGTTGGTAACCACCCAGGAGCATGAAAGAAGAGTTAAGAGAATGAGAAAGAGAAGAAATACATGTGCGACCATAACCGTCGGGAACACACACACAAGCACACACACACACACAAGCACACACAAGCACACACACACACACACACACACACGTGCCAAGAACACATGTACACACGCACGTGCACGCACACGCACACGCACAGAGATAGTCGTGAAACCCGGGATCACGTGAATTTCGTACATTTCGTTTTCGTGTGCTGATTCTGCGTGCTCTTTTTCTTCCACATGCTTTTTCGCGATTCTGCTGCTATGCCATTGTTTCTGCCATATGCACACAGGTTCAGCCTTTTTTTTAAATAGATCTTTCCTTTTGACACCGAACAGAAAGGGAGTTCCTTTATTGAACTATGTCAAATTGTTTGTGAGAACTCCAGCAGAGGCCAAAGACAGGCACATCCTGAATCAAAATCCTTGTGGTCGACAATCCAGGTCCACAGATAATTTCTCTCCTCTGTTTCTGTTTACAAGTCTGATCCGTGTAAGTTTTAAAGCAACTAACGGACGACCACCGTTACTTTTCATTTCTATACGATTTGCAACTGACTTGTAGGCGATGCTCCCACACCCTTCGCAATATGCGCAGCCATCCATTATAATTACAAATCCTCACAACAATCTCCAAGTGGTCTCTGGGCTACACCAATATTGATGTCGACCAGAGGCCACTTGGAGAGTGTTGTCAGGATGCTCCTATATCATTGTCGCTATTCTTGGTCCTTTTCAGTCTCATGTTCTTGTATAGTGATCTGTCGCTTGAACAGTCCGTGTCCCCTTTTATCATCCACATTGTGTTTTTGGTCCTGCGTCGTGTCCAAATGCAGCAATTTGAGTTTTTTTTGTCTTCCTCAATCTATATTTTGTCTAGTACTTGTGTATCAATGTTCATTTTCCTCATTCCTTTACTTAGGGCAGGTACATGTATGTTAGGCTCCCGCACATCATATTCCCAGCCGGCCTGCACCCAGTTTGACACGCTTTGTTTCATCGGCCTGGGTAGTTGCTCGTGCGCCCATTTTGAAATAGCTACACGGGCCCTTTATCTAGCACACACTCTCTCTTTCTTGCCACCACCATGCAGTCTTTTGTTTCTCCGTCTCCCCTTGCCGTTTCCCAAGTACCGGTATTATAGTTTTGTCTTCCCCAACCAACCTCGTCCATCCCTTGCTGTGATGTGAGAACTATGGCAGTCTTGCAACACTAGATAGAAAATGACTTTGCATAAGTTAGTGCTTTATATACATGTATGCATGCATTTTTGTACCTTACAAAAAGCAGTCTGCCATATTCTGGGTTTGCGTGTTCTTACCTTGTTATGGTAGTATGACGCGATGGAGTGGGTTTAATGCTGAGCTCATCCTCCAGTGACTCGGAGCGTTTCATGAGGCGTACTAGTCGATTTGGAGATGCTGAGAAGTGCTGCGGTGAGACGACCTCTTCACTAGAGAAGAGCCGAATCATTTCTTCAAGATCATCGAGATTGTCAAGGGCTTCACTGCAAACGTACACATTATATATACAAACAACACACAGAGGATCACGGCTAGCATTTGGACAAGGTATCCACGCCGGTCGCTGCAAGTTGAAATAATTTAAAAGGCTACAGGCGCAAACAATCAACGTTCGTACCGCTGTCCCAAGAAGAGAAAGATGAGATTCAAGATGAGATTCAACAGCTTAGGGGAAAACATAGTGTTGTCATAAAGCCGTCAGACAAGGGAATGAGATTCGTCTTGTTACCCAGTACACAATATGATGAGAAAGACGAAGCCATGCTGGACCAAGAAGCTGACTATGAGAAGGTGGCCATGACGGTGGACAAACTGGATGAGGAGACGAGACGTTTTGTCGACACTCATCTGAAGAACAAGCTCCCGGAGAAACTGGAGAAGGCAATCAAACCGAGGCACTCGTGGATGCCATGGTTTTACGGTCTCCCCAAAGACCATAAGGCAGGATTGCCATTGCGTCCCGTGGTCAGTTCTTGCGACAGTCCTACAAGTAACATTTCGTTGATTGTTGAAAGGATACTGAATCAGCTCCTTATGTTCGTACCTGCTCATCTAGATAGCACCGAAGCCTGCATTGAAGACATCAAGAGGCATCGCCATGTCCCGGATGGCTGCATCATCGCCTCATTCGATGTAGTGGGCCTCCATTCAAACATTCCATAGATGAGAGCATTTCGGCCGCTATTACCAAGCTAGAGCAGCATAAAAATGATGTCGACATGCTTGGATTGACGGTTGCGGATGTACAGCTGATATTGCAGTATTTTCTGTCAAACAACTACTTCGAGTTCAATAGTAAACAGTACCGTCAGAAGCGTGGAATTGCGATGGGAACCATCTGGCACCTCCGCTGGCCATCCTCTTCATGGATGCTCTCGAGCGGAAGGCTCTCTCGACAGCTACAGTGAAACCAGATCTCTACAAACGATATATCGACGACTGCATACTACTGTGGTCTGTGGAGACATGGCTGGAGAGGTTTAACAGCACTTCCAGATCACTTCAACGGACAGCACACTACTATCAAATTCACAATGGAACACTCGGTCAACGAAACTCAGTCAGTGAACTTCCTAGATCTAGCGCTGTCTGTGCATGGAAACAGCATAGAGTGGGAGCTCTATGTTAAGCCTTCCCACAGTGGTGTCCACCTGTCTTATGAATCATGTCTCCCCTGGTCGTGTAAAAGAGCTGTTGCAATGAACCAATTCTCTCGAGCTATCCGTAACTCATTAACACCGGAAGCGGAAGACAGGAGCATGTCCATAATTGAAGAGTTGCTCGAGAGAAATGACTATCCACGCACCGATATAAATGCAGCACGGCGAGCAGCCAAGGGGAAGAGACAAGATACACACCCGTCTCAACAGCAGCAGCGTGACAGCAAGCGCAGACGCAACGAATTCAAGTCGGTCATCAAACTGCCCTTCATCAACGACTCACTTCCCGCTCGTGTCTCACGACGTGTTCAAAAGTTCAGTCCGCATGTTCGTGTTGTCTTTGTGTCTGGTCCTTCTTTGAAGGATGTGTTGGTCCGATCGTCGAGTGCCGTACGTGTGTGTCCCCGTGAGAAGCAGCGATCGGAGGTGAAGAGAGGGAGAGGTCGACCAATGGAGTGTCGTGCATGCGATGCGAGTATGGTGGATAGTCAGTGTTTAGTCAAAGGTGTTGTCTATTGTATGTCTTGCACGTTGGTGAGACCGAGCGGCCGGTGAGGGACCGATTCGCTGAGCACTACCGAGAGGCAAGGCGATGGTGGCGAAGGCGCCCTGGGGCTTCCACTATCGTACCCAGCATCGAGAATCTTCAAAGTCTTCCAACTTTCTGCCTTTCCACCAGGCAAAGATTCTCGGCAGAGAGGCTTCGCTACCTTCAAGGAAACTGCTTGAAGCTATCGAGATAAGGAAGCGCAAACCAGCAGTCAATTGCAATGACGGCTGGCGCCTAATTGACTGATTGGATGTCACCGGATCGTCACTGGAATCGACACCCATCTCCTCGAACTTCCACTGGACTTTACCACCTGACACAGCACATACACATACTTTGCACATACACCGCTGTCATATACATAGATCGCCTTTAGCATTCCCACACTTGAAAGTGTTCTTGTACGTGCTGTGATAGTCTTACTAGTCTTCTTTCTTCTGTTTAGGTCACCTTACAGGTGATGATTGTAAACTTTAGTGTTAGTTTCTTGCCTTCTTGCCAAAATTGTGTCTGTGTGTATGTGTGAGTTTTCTCATCTTCAATGCTGTTTAGGTCACCTTACAAGTGATGATTGTTTAGTTTGCTGGCCTTGCCAATTGTGTCACCAGGATGTGTTAGTTAATTCTAGAACATTCATCTGCCTGCATTATTCGTCTTTGTATTTCGTGTTTTGCCTCCCCTTCCTCAATGCCCTGATGATGCCCAATGGGCAAAATATTGGCAAAGTATTAGTTATTTATTTGGTGCAGCTGAGAGCCTGTTGCCGGAATGGCGGTGTTTTCAAGTGCAAGAAATACGCTGCAATGGAGTTTGGGAATTCTGAAGAAACGTACAGGTGATAATCTACCGTCATTTGTTTTTGATTTGAACACACACTCATGCTAGCCCACGGAGCCCAGTTGCTCATTCTTCGAGCCGGGGACTCTACCAATGCCTGTTTTTGCCACAAGTCAATACTCCACCATGCTTTAGAAGGACCTCACATGTAGGAATACAGGACAGAACCCACAGCTCCTCAGTCCGAAATTGTTACGTATCAAGTTATCATCTGCAGTGCAGAGCTTGCTGCTATGCAGTGCAATGCAGGTGGGGTGTGTTAATAGTAAAAAATAAAAAAGGAGGTTTGCCGCATGCAACTAGTCCACTCTCGCTTACCGCAGCGCTAAGAAGTCCTTTGGGCACTTATCAATTCCTTTCGTGTAGACATCCCTGAGGAGAAATGACCATCACACAGACATTCTCAATGACAACTGAGTGGAAGACAGAATGATATCATGACAGTGAATTCTGTACATGTACTTGAAGTAGAACCTGCAGCACCACTTCTATGGATCTTGAACAACGGCATAATATTATATGATTGTGGCTGGGAATGTTGGTTTGGTGCACAGCAATTCGTACCATTCTACTCAGTGCCAACTACTAATGGAACAAATAGATGGCACGAGCTGATTGTTTAGTAACTGGTGGCGTTAGTGGACATTATAACCTAACTTGTAGTTCCTTGGTCCTTTTTATTTTCTATAAATAGATGGTGTGCATATTTAAAAAATTGTATTATAGTGTGTGCTCTCTGATATTCAACCTGATAGCGGTGGTGGCAAAACACAGACCGTCCAGCACTTGAGAGTGCGCATCAGAATAGCAGCAGCCCACCTTGCATGCTCCCATCTATTGAGTAAGCACAGTGCTGACCCCTTCATCAGGTACCCCTTGGACTTGCATGGCATTGCCACTATCCACTGCATGGGAGACAAGCAGTGAAAGAAAATGACGAAGTCAACAGCGGAAGCAGCCAGTAGAAAATGAGAATAATCAGAATAATATGTTCCCACCCGAGGCGTGCCTGGGAACTTTGGGAGCAACACACTCTACATGTAGGGTCGTATCATGCTGCCAGGTCAGTGATGCTGTTGTCAACGTTGCAAGCATGCGTGTGTGAGTGTACTTTTTAAAAGTGCATTTCGTGGTGTGTGTGTGTGTGTGTGTGTGTGTGTGTGTGTGTGTGTGTGTGTGTGTGTGTGTGTGTGTGTTTGTGTAGCATCTCCAAGCCTCGTCAGTGGTCCGGGTGGCTGTCATCCACAGACCTGTGGAACCATTGGGGAGACCCAGTACTGATGTCTACACGCCTCCACAATCGGCGTTTGGAATGGATTGGGCACGTTGCGCGTATGGATGAGGATTGCACCCCCTCAAACTCCTCTTTGGGTGGCTACCTGTGCTTCGGCCTTTTTGCGGCCCCGTCGACGGTGGAAGGACACGGTGATGACCGACCTCAAGTTTGCACTGCAGCAGCCATCTCAGTGGTTCAACCTTGCTCAGGACTGCCAACAATGGAGGGAAGTACGGGTTGCCCCTCAGTGTGCGGTGGGGCCTCACGGTCAGTCTATCAAAGACCAAGTGCATGACTGTCAATTCGCCCATGAATGAGCCGGTGTCTCTTGGTGAGAGCACCATCGAGGCCGTTGACGGGTTTACGTACCTTGGCCGGCAGTGTCATCCATCGGGATGGGCAGTCTTCGCATGATGTTCAATCCCGTCTCGCCAAGGCTTCACGTGTGTTCGGCAGTCTCCGTGTTCCAGTGTTTGAGAATTGGTCATTATCTCTCGCCCTTGTGCTGACGGCCCTCCTGTACGCAGCTGAGACGTGGACGCCGAAGGCACCAGACCTGCGCTTTCTCAACGCCTTTCATCACCAGTGTGTTCGCATCATCGTTGGCATCTCCAAGCGGGACCAGTGGAACAACCGCGTCACCTTCATTACCATGGCCAGAACCCTCGGCATTGACTGTGAAGTCGCGGACAACATCCGGGAATATCGACTCGTTGGCTTGGCCATGTTGGCCAGATGAACGACGACCGTATGCCGAAGCGAGTTTCGTTTGGGGAACTCCCTGCAACGCACCCTCGCCATGGTCTACGCAAGTAGTGGAGTGACGTCATCGTGGATGATCTCCGCTCCATCAGCCCTCCATCAGCGTTCAAGTGTGTGTGTGTGTGTGTGTGTGTGTGTGTGTGTGTGTGTGTGTGTGTGTGTGAGTGTGTGTGTGTGTGAGAGTGTGTGTGTGTGTGTGTGTGTGTGTGCGTGTGTGTGTGTGTGTGCGTGCATGCATGCATGCATGCGTGCGTGTGTGTGTGTGTGTGTGTGTGTGTGTGTGTGTGTGTGTGTGCGTGCAAGCGTGCAAGTGTGCACATGCAATGCAATACATGTGCGCGCATGTTGTGTACACTGTACTTGCTGAGTGAGACCGCTACATGTACTTAATCAGCTGCAATATTTCTGCACACCAATGTCTCCTCACTAGTCCACTCTCTATTTGCAACTGACACAGCACACCATGGAAGCCCGGGTTTCAATTCACCTAAACCGTTCTCTTTGGAGCGGTGAGTCCTTTACCTTGTTGCCCGTGCAGATTCTGCGGTTCAACCAAGATATCAGATTTCTCTCACTTGCAAGAAGATACTTGTCCCTGCAGGGGCAGACAAAGCAATAGGGGTAGAATATTTAAAAAATAATAATATTCGAGTCCCCGTCCTAACTCACTTATCGAAATACATGTACCATGTATAGCATGTATCCCAAATAATAGTTATGTACATTTGTATATCCAGCATAGAATTTTTTTAAAGGGGAAGTTAAGGCAAAAATTAAAATTTCACCAGTTGTAGTCTTCGGGGTGCTGAGTCGAATGGTCTTGGTCCGAGAAAGCTGAGACGCTCCCTTCCTACTTGAATCCCAATCGAACTCGCGCACTTCCACCGAAACTGGGTGACTGCGCCCTACTAGATGGGGGTTTGTATGCAAAATGTCACTAAAAGCGCCATTTCGTTCTTATAAAAGCACGGATGACCGCGATTGGCCCATATGTTGTAGTCTTTTGGACGCTGAGTCGACTGGTTTTGGTCCGAAAAGGCTGCGATGCAGCGTTCCTCCTTTATTCCCAATCGAACATGGTTGAACAAGCGGTCACGTGCTCCTGCGTACGCCAGTCACCTGGTCACCGTGCCTGCAGGGTACAACTTACTGGCCTGTTTGACCTATTTTGGGTGCAGTCCTGTCACTCGAGTTGAACCTTGGTGTGAAAATTGTCGCCTGCTGGCGTGGTGACCAGGTGATTTGGGCACCCAGGAGCACGTGACCGCTTCTTCAACCATGTTCGATTGGGAATAAAGGAGGAACGCTGCATCGCAGCCTTTTCGGACCAAAACCAGTCGACTCAGCGTCCAAAAGACTACAACATATGGGCCAATCGCGGTCATCCGCGCTTTTATAAGAACGAAATGGCGCTTTTAGTGACATTTTGCATACAAATCCCCATCTAGTAGGGCGCAGTCACCCAGTTTCGGTGGAAGTGCGCGAGTTCGATTGGGATTCAAGTAGGAAGGGAGCGTCTCAGCTTTCTCGGACCAAGACCATTCGACTCAGCACCCCGAAGACTACAACTGGTGAAATTTTGATTTTTGCCTTAACTTCCCCTTTAGCACCCAGCTTGACAGTCATGACATCAGAAGAAAATAATATCGACTTTTGGGTCAAATTTGTAGGATCCACTCTTGCCCTTGTGAGGAACACGATACAGACAGAGTCAGTACAGTAGTAATTATGTCATGGTGGGAAAGTACAGGCAGGCTCTTGTCGCAGGCATGTACCTGTGTTCAGTGGTGTTCGCCCTTAGGCAAGTTAGTTAGGGACACCAGCGAAAATTCGAAACAGTGTACCTAATAATTATTACACATAGTTTCACATACCCGTCGGGCCAGGAGAGCTCTGATTCAATGTCTTCGGACGGCGCTGTTTCTGGCACCGATGACAGAGGCATACCGGTATCTTCCACATCTTCTGTACAGGAAATTTCTACATCTACCATGACAAATGACGATAGACTGCCTTCTCCATCCGCAGTGGAGAGGCTTGTCGTTGTCAGTTGGTTACGCGTCACCGTGCTAGCAAGCAGTTGGTCTTCGCGCTGGGCGAGGGCCTCCGCCAGGTCGGCCACCAAACTCTCGCGCACTTCTGGAGTCTTGTTCATCATTGCTTTCAGTAAAGTATCTTCGACGGTGCTAGAGTCCGCCATTTTAACTCAGTCAGTCGGCTAAACTCAACGAGGCCAGTCGAGCGCAACCACAAACGTCTCCTCGGTAGGTTGCAGCGTAAGCATTTGCTCGGACCCTCTCCATACATATAAAATTAATGTAACAAACCAAGCAAATCGGTCAAGAGAGGAATGATACTTGATAGATGTGTGTGCAACACCTACTAATAGGAAGCTTCAAACTTTGAGAGCGCCACACACGTTGCTGCGCGCGGAACATCGCTGCTTTGGTAGACAGGTGTGAGGCTAAGCATTTTCAGCAAGGACTGGATCATGGATCATGCCATGGATCATGGAGCTGGAGTTTGCCGGAACCAGGGTGCCTCTGGCCTGCCTGCACTTAGCGCTAACGCCATACCTTTTCCATGATCACGCGCGATGGAGTTGCGATGCAGGATGGAGTGTTGAAAATCAACAGCTGGCTCCGCATGTGGCCATCATGTGTGGCTTGTACGTTTTGTAGCCTCACGTCCATCGCATGCCCTCCGATATTCAGTGCGAGAACTCGTCAACTGGCAGGAAGGTGGAGGAAGTCGAGCTTGTTCACTTCCTTAGTTTAGATCATAGATCGACCATGATAGACGAGTGAAATTCACGCCACACCGCGCGAAGTAGTTCAACAGCAGAACATGTACTAGTAACAGTTAATACTATACTAGTACTACTTCAAATGAAGCAATTATATTTATTTGTGCTGTTGGTAGCCACCCTATTCTGATTCATGGACTCACAAGTACCGTAGGCACTTACCTGGTAGCACAGGGAAATATGAATAGTTGATACAAGTGAGTCTGGAGATCAGTATGATAAGCAATGAGTGGTACATACCAGGGAGTACTACTCCCTGGTACATACCGCGCCGATACAGTCATGTTGTTGGTTGACAGCATGTTACATGCAGGAGGCCTTATTTGCTTTGCAAAGGGCAAGTATTGCCAAGTAAGTAAGTAAGTGGACATAAAATTAATTACAATGTATGTCATGTATTATGAATATACATGTACATGATTGTACATATATCAAGAAAATCATCAGACAACTCACCACAAAACTCAAAATTGTAATTATCAGATATTCAGCAGGAACAGAACTAGTCTTGCTCCACCACCGTTCGACATGTCAAAAAAATTCACGGTTCGCATGAGACTCGGCTAGAGCAGTAGAGGCGGAGTTTTCCGTATCTGTAGGAACGCCACAAAGCATGTCATACATGTACATGTTTCGATTCGCCACCACCCTTCAAGGATCAAGGATCAAAGCACGTCACACATGTTTCGATTTGTCACCTTCTCTCTCTGTATTACACTATACTCATTGATTCCGGTTCCTGTGCTTCTTCTATCCCCAGCCAAATTCTGGCCTGTTCTGAGTACAGTGTAGTTATATTCCATTTGCACCCTTATGGTACCCTTCATTCGACACTTTCCTTCTCTCCAATTCTGTTTACTAGTACATGTACAGTAAAACCTGTGACTACCGACCACCCCTTGGTTCCAGCAAAAGCGGTCTTTAGTACCAGGTGGTCTTTAGTTAGAGGTTTGCACTGCGTGACCATATATGGATCCCATTATATGATATGTACCTATGTCAAAATGCAGCCAATACAATTCCCCAGAACTTGCGCAATACCATTCTTATTTTAGGTCAAACAACACTTGGAGAGCAAGACGAAGAGATGGAGAGAGTCACAGAGAGAGAGAGGGGGGGGGGGGGGGGGAGAGAGAGAGAAGAGTTTAATTTTTGCAGACATCAAATTCAGCTGCTACTTCTGAAGCCAGGAGTCAAACGCTCCCTGTGTAAGTTTCGTTTTCCGCTGGGCTTCAAATTTGTTCATGCAATCAATCGTACCGACTGTCCTTGTTGTGCAGACTTCTCGATTGCTTGAACGCGATCCGTCAGCATCAGGACCTTGTGGTGCTGCATGGTTTATGGATTCCTTGATGCCATCGTCGATTCGTCTGTATGACTGGGCTGACAGTGCCGTTCAGTCTTCGTTTCTCCTCCGAGTAGTGACATCGATCAGAGAGCGCGTCCGATGCGCTCTCCATGACGTTTCCTATCATGTTTATTCTTCACAGGGCTTGAAACTTTGACAGGTGCAGTGCAATGAACACCGACTGCTCAGTCAAAATGACCTGCGTTTATTTGTTCAGCTGTAGTATCGAAAGATGCCTTTCAGGACCTTGGGAAAATCAGCAAAATTTCAAGAAGGAGCTTCGAGCAACATCTGATTTCCTACATCGCGGTCGCTAGTTACGGGTCAAAAGTCGTCTTTGGGACAAGAAAAGGCGGTCGCTGGTCGCGTTCAGCAGGTAGTCGCTAGTCACAGTGCATTTTGAATGTGAGACCGTCCGTGCCTGGCCAAGTGGTCGGTAGTACCAGGCTGGTCGCTAGTCACGGTGGTCTTTACTTACAGGTTTTACTGTAGATGTATAGATGTATTCTTGTCACAATAGTCTCAGCTGAAGTTGAAGACACCACTGCAGCTATACTTATCGTTGATAAATATGGTGGTAAAGACGCACCTGGCAATATGGCGGTAAACACACGCCTGCCCACACACGCTCTCTAAGCTGCAAAGTTCTAGCACAGAGCTCTCCTTCTCACCACCACCACCACCATCAGTTCGCGCCTGGCGCCTAGTCGATGCATGGTTGGCGGTATCCGACATACTGTAGAGGCAGAAAATTTCGTCGGTCAATAATTTCGTCCAACTCCAAAGAAAAGGAGTTCGTCCGGTTGAAAATTTCGTCCATGGGTCATAAGAGTGTATAGAAACGCTGGACAAATCGATATTCGTCCTACATTTAATTTAGTCCAAAAGCTCCTTGGACGAAAAAGACGAAATTAAATTCCAGACGAATATTTCTGCTTATACAGTAGCAGGCTGGTACATCAAGTAGCGCATGGCACATAGAAGATGACACAGCAACGACATAGCTCGATTGCGACGTACGTTTCGTCCCCGCCGGACTCATCAGGCAATCTTCTTCTTGGATGTCTTCATACGGAGCTTGACTCGGGAGAATGAAGTTGAAGACACCACTGCAGCTATACTTATCGTTGATAAATATGGTGGTAAAGACACACCTGGCAATATGGCGGTAAACACACGCCTGCCCACACACGCTCTCTAAGCTGCAAAGTTCTAGCACAGAGCTCTCCTTCTCACCACCACCACCACCATCAGTTCGCGCCTGGCGCCTAGTCGATGCATGGTTGGCGGTATCCGACATAGCAGGCTGGTACATCAAGTAGTGTATGAAGACATCCAAGAAGAAGATTGCCTGATGAGTCCGGCGGGGACGAAACGTACGTCGCAATCGAGCTATGTCGTTGCTGTGTCATCTTCTATGTGCCATGCGCTACTTGATGTACCAGCCTGCTATGTCGGATACCGCCAACCATGCATCGACTAGGCGCCAGGCGCGAACTGATGGTGGTGGTGGTGGTGAGAAGGAGAGCTCTGTGCTAGAACTTTGCAGCTTAGAGAGTGTGTGTGGGCAGGCGTGTGTTTACCGCCATATTGCTAGGTGTGTCTTTACCACCATATTTATCAACCATAAGTACAGCTGCAGTGGTGTCTTCAACTTCATTCTCCCGAGTCAAGCTCCGTATAAAGACATCCAAGAAGAAGATTGCCTGATGAGTCCGGCGGGGACGAAACGTACGTCGCAATCGAGCTATGTCGTTGCTGTGTCATCTTCTATGTGCCATGCGCTACTTGATGTACCAGCCTGCTATGTCGGATACCGCCAACCATGCATCGACTAGGCGCCAGGCGCGAACTGATGGTGGTGGTGGTGGTGAGAAGGAGAGCTCTGTGCTAGAACTTTGCAGCTTAGAGAGCGTGTGTGGGCAGGCGTGTGTTTACCGCCATATTGCCAGGTGTGTCTTTACCACCATATTTATCAACCAATATTCTCAGCTGTATTTCAAATTCGGTCTATTCTAAATCTCTCCCCCCCCCTGCTTATGCTTTCCCCTCATGTAATTGGTGCGCCTGCCAAGTCTGCTATTCCAAGATGCTGGACTGAGCATCACAGACCTCGCCACTGCACCAGCACCGTCTCTCATGCATCATGCTAGCCCCATCATCGGCATGCGCCTGCCGGTGAGTTGTGTATATCATGTAAAGCATGCATATCGCATGTAGAATGATGTTGTATACAGCGCACCATACCATCTGCCTTGCCAACGCCTCCACTCCAGAAGAAGGTGACGAGTACCACTAGCTGGGGTGAAGGAGCCGTCCTGCACTTCACATATACAATTCTAATATTGCTGCAGCTTCTCCTGCTTTTGTCTGCGGAATGTTGCCGGAAAAGATTGCTTGGTTTTTGAAGGTGCAAAAGGATTGCAGACGCGAATATCAAAGTAGGTGCACTCGTCTATTTCCCCATAAACTATCGGCCAAATCCAGGAGGCCGGAGTCTTCAGTGATGGCTGTCCAGTGCACGGGCCTTTCACCAGAGAGCTAGAAGAGGGGCTCTAGTCTAGGTAGGGTTCAATGCCAACCTGACGGCTGACGCACAGGGTGATGACTACAGGCACGGGCGGCGAGCCTCGAGGCGCCTCCTCATGTACCGGTACGGTCATCTACTGATGCTGGCTACAGCATTGGGTATTACGCTCCTCGACATTCGTCTTTTTGAGCAGTCTCTCGGGTTTTTTGTTTGTTTTTTGGAATGAAATCCTTGAGCCTTTTGTACTAGCAAAATAACACGTTTCGTTTTGTGAAGCATCAACAGAATTACATAAAACGAATCATCGGATTATAGTAATGATTATACAGACTCAGCAGGATCACTGCAGGTTCACTGGATGCGTGCCTCAGCCACCACTAGCACTGCAGGGGACTTAGGCACGGCAGGAGCAAACATGCTCCTTGAGCCACGCAGGCACATGGCACCACAACGAACCAGGGCAAACCCAAGGCGGCAGCGCAGCAAGGAGATAATCTGCGCGTATGGCTCCTTGCTCTTCTCAGCCAGGAGAGAGGCGATCCGCGAGAAAAGCGCATTGGCATGCTTGCCATAGCCACTAAAGGGAGAAAGCACAATGGGCACTAAGGAGGCATGCTCGACTTCGCGTACTCGCTCTTCGTACTTCCGGCGCTTTTCCTGTTCATGGCGTCTGTAGCTAGCAGCGAGGGAGGTGGCACGATTCGAAGACGCAAAAGGGTTGAACACCCGTACATCAATAAAGATGCACTCGAATCGGCCACCCCACACACCACTAGCCGCAACGTCCAGCCGAGCCTGCTCCTCCGTGACATGTCGACAGCTGTGCGATGGCGGAAGGCCTCTCCGGTGACGGGCTGGAGGTGGGGTTCCACCGTCACGTTATGAGCGAGGGTGTTACTCACATTCAGCACATTCAGCGGCTTACTGCACACGCAGAGGCTTTTAAAGGAGCCGAGGAGGTGTCCAGCCGTACCGGAGGCACAGGCCATCCCGGAAGTCTTCCTTGGTGAGGGTGAAACCATGGCGGCTGAGGGGGCGGCAAGTCAGCCAGCTGGATGCACCCTCTTCTGAGGCCAAGTCGAGAACAGGGGCCAGCTCCCGGTGATCCGAGCGAAGGGCGTCAGACATTGACTTGGCCCCGCTCCGCTTCTCGGCACGAACCGTCGCCTTGACCATGCGGAGCTGAGTCAGAGAGTGGCCAAGAGACGACTCCTCCTCCAGCAGGCGAGACACGAGAAAAAAAAGCTGTCTCTCGGTAGGCTGCTCTAGTGCTACTGCGATTACGCATTGCCCGCTGCTTTTCGTAGTTAGAGCACTCTGGGCCTGGCGCTAGAGCGACGAGCTATCTGTGGTACCTCCTTCGGCTTCGCACCATGGCTGGTAGATCTACCGATAGCTCGGTTTACTCTCATAGCTGTACTGATGAGGCCTTTATGGCCGAAATAGCTTGCTGTCTGCAGCATTGTGTACGTACTAGTACACGTAGATCTACATGTACAATGATGTAGACAGCATGTAATTGTTACAAGGCGGAGGACCACTAATGCCAGTAATGGCACTATGTCTTGCTGTCAACCAACAAAATGTGCATGTGCTCAAAACAAAGTTTATCTGTACTGGTATTGTCAGGCCACCCTGGCAACGTGCCATGGCAACACAGGAAGCCTACATGCTTTTTATGTAAGCTGGCTTTTGACATCGATCACTTACCAATGACAATGTACTATGTAAGGGGTGGAAATGCTGTCGCTGTGCGTCGGCGGGAGTCAGGTAGATCTACTCCATGCAGGTCCGGCCAATGCCCAGTACTGCAGTACGAGTTCGTAGTCGGAGTCCGCCCGCTGACGTGACACTGACAGTCACACTCACAGCCAGTAACCACTGGTAACAGACTCAGTACTGCAGTATGACAGCTAGTGTTCTCTGCCAGGTACATGTACAATCATGACTCATGTACATGATTGTACGTATTTGTCGATCAGTATTTTGAAAGATCCACGGCAAACAATAATACTTAATAGTGATGCCGTGTTTCTAGTCAAAGGGCCAAGGCTACGCGCGATGTCAAGTACCTGAGTACTGAGTATACATGTATCTGCCTGTCCGCAATCGATCCTCTGATGTGCGTGGCAGTGATCATGGTGATGGGCCATGCATGTCTACATACGACGACCAGGAGAGCTATCACCATGATCACCGGTCACCGCGCGTACCGGGCATGTGCGTATCACCATGGTCACCAAGGCTACATCATGCTTCTCAGTATACCCGTGTCCTCGAGGCATGGCCCTGGCCTGGGTGTTCAACCCACAATAATGAATACTGTCATGTTTGTGCCGTGGGGATTCTAGCATGGTCGATCGAAAGGTCTATGGCTCTGTGCTGCTCAGTCAGCAGGTCAGGCAGTCTTGAAAGCCTCCTGCGAGCTGCCGTCCTCATGGAGTCATCTGGTCATGGTCCTGCCTGGTACTGCTGGTGCTGCTCAATGAAATCCGATCGTGTGGGTGTAGTTTGCGCCCAGCACCAGTTCACATTCGCAGTAATTTTCTAGCACAAGGCCAAGGGCGAGTACGACTAGACTAGAGACAGGTAGACCGTAGAGTGAAGTAGCAGACATGGTGGGCTACGGCCAGTATGGGCGTACATGTACGTCTACGTCATGTCAGTGACTAATTTAACTGAGTCAGAGTCACAAACAAAGTCATGACTTCAAGTAGTTACTTCAAAGTGCGAAACACCGCCAATACAAGCGGATGATCATGATGTATGGAATCGAGCATGAGTACGAGGACGAAAGTGCGGAATCGGAGCCCGACGCGCGCTAGCGCGGAGGGCTCCGATTCTAGCACTTGAGTCCGAGTACGAATGCTTTGATACCATTTCTGACATGCATTGGCTGAATCGGAGCACGCCTAGGCGTGCTCCGATTCAATCGGAGCACGCCTGGGCGTGCTCCGATTGGAAAATCGGAGACCTGCAAGCGCTCACAGGTCTTCAGTGGCTGATTCAAAGCACGGCAAGTCGCGCTAGGATTCGCTGTTGCCATGTCGATTGTCATGTGACATGTCAGAAACCAGCAATCAACGTCGCAACAAACAAAGACTTGAAAGAGCACCTCATACTTGTCATAGCTCTGAAGATTGTTGCACTTGCAGATCGTTCTGTTTGAGCATTTGAGGGCATGTTCGAGGCTGTCGATGTGTGTTTGAGTTAGATCCACCGCAGAACGCCGCGGATGGATCTAAGAATTTTGTAGATAGACAGCATGCAATCGAGTGTCATGATGTACAATGTACATGCATGTCACACATGTGCACTGCGTTGTGCAGAGCTAGAGCCAGCTGATCGCGTGATTGTAAACAAGATACCTAGATAACGACCGGGAGCATCTTTGGTCCATGCCAAAAATCAATAATTTGATCCGGACAGAGGTTATGCTACGCCCTCCCATTCGTTGCTCTCGTCTTGTGCTTACTCTAGTCCATTGCGATATAGTGCTGTAGATAGAGAAGCTGTAGTTGTCCACATCCCGGTTTGAAGCAAATCTTCTGAAATTCAAGCAATAATGAGTAAGTTTGGAGGGAGGAGAATGTCCGACAGCGTCGATTACGAGGGCGACCAAAGCGAACAATACGAGGAGAGTCCGAGGGACAGTTCTTACTTGGCTGGCCGTGAGCCTGACTATGACGGCGTGGACGAGGATGAGGATGATGAACAAGTCGGCAGTATGAGCGTGGTGGTGTGCGGCCAGCCGTTCGAGCATCGTGCTCAGTCGGCACGGCGTCGGACGAAGTCAGCGCAGCTTCGTCAAACCGGCGACACGGTGAAGCTGGCCGGTGTGAAAAGTCAGATCTATAACCCTGCGTTGCCCAGTCTCAGACGTATGGACATGGATGATACAGGGCATCGGCTTACTTACGAACATTCCCGAGCAACATCAGCCTTGACCAGACGTGAGAACAGAACAAGAACACCCATACTAGGCAATTGGCATTGTGACTTGTGTTGCAGACCTACAGACAGTCCGAGTAGTAATATTTCAACCCTTCACTACTAGCCCACAGTGTTGGCAAGTGAAATCCGACTCCATGAATAAAGCAGCGTAGTAGTATTGATAAGGCTTATGCCGGTTAGTACAAGGTGTACAGATCCACGAAATCCCGTAGACCCGGTCACAGTGGGTGTTGAATGTGCAGGACCCTATTGTGTTTTCTGCTACTTCCACTAAAAAATGGGCCCTGAAGGAATTTCATACGAAATTCTTTTTCTGACAAAGATCTAGCTAGTCATTAGTTCTAACCAAAGTGAAGAAGCTGGAAAAGCGATTGCTTGCCAATAAATTATGAGGCTAAGAGGTCAAATGCGCATGCATAGCACACAATAAACACCCAACCGGGTCTACGGGATTCAACAGGATTTCTTGAATCTGTACAACTAGTACTAACCGGCATAAGGTCTATTGCACATGTCGGTGTTCCTCAGGGCCTTATTCAGGCCCGGGCGTCTTTCATTTGCCAGTGCTGCAGATGTACATGACATTGTACAAGGTTATGCAGGAGCATGCCAATGCATTTGCCTGATCTGCTTGATCGTTGCATTGCATCTGCTTGATTTGGAAATGGTCGGCATGTACACATGCAGCTCCAGAGCTGATCTCGCATACACGACTGTATCGATCAGTCTCATTCATGATGTTCCCTATTGTGCTGGAAAGCCGTACACCGTTTACAACTGGCATGGCAAGTTACACCGGCGTGTGATTGCCAATCTTGAGGAAGACTAGAACTTGAACGATGATCGTATTCTGTAGTGTCAGCGAGGTTGTTCTGATGTTGACATGTGTTTGTATGAACGTATTGTGTTGCTGTTTTGTTCGTCAACTCTCACTAGGTTCCTTCAATGACTGCCGTACAACGTTCTTCCAGCCAGCTACAAGCTTTCCATCAAAGGTAAACCGGGCCTTGGCTGCTAGTAGTTGTATTGTGCACCTTTGCTGACACGCTTATAAGGAGCACGGTTAAAGTATATTTGCCAGTCTTATCCGTGCTATTGCCCCGTCCTGTAACACATATTGGTATGGAACATACGGATTCTTTTCAAGTGTTGTTTGAGAGATAAGACAATAATTGTAATTTCACATGTGATGCCGCTGATGCTTTTTCTGTCTTTAATTTATATTCAGAGAATAACGGAGGCAAGTCGGCCTCTGGAGGACCGCTTGCGAGTTCTTAGTGCAAGGTATTGTGCTATAGGTAGATAAGGCATGGACGCAATATACACATAACGATGTCCTGTGGTATATGCCTATAGTGAGAACTTGATTCCGTATTCAGCGCCACGAACGTCCACGCAGCTGCCTCCTTGTTGATTCCTTGCCTGTATGCTCCTACTCTGCAACAATGCCAGTAGGTCCTATACTCTGCTGTGACTGATGCCAATGTTAAAGTGATGTAGGCAATGCGAGTCGGTCTTTGTGACTGTGTTGACCTCTTCAGTGCTCCCACACGGCCTATACCATGGACCAGTCTCATGCAATCGCTTAGTACACGGCGAGATGAGGCTGCAGACCGAACTCCAACACCAGTCCGTAAGTGGATTGGGTTTGTTATCGAAAACCCCGCGCGTGTGCACAGCTGGAATGCCTTCCACCTGTATTTACGATTCGTATATGCTCTTGTCAGTGCTGTACTCTTGTCGTATGTATAATGTGGTTTTGAGGCTTAGCCTGGACTGCAACTATTGCTGTTTTATCCTATAATAACTGCCATTATTAACTGGAGTTTCCAATATTGATGCACATGTACACTTCACATTGCACAATGTACAGGGAAGTAGCCAGCATCGGCCAAGCCGATAACTTATTGGTTGATTGAAGTGCCGTCGGTTGGCATGCCTGTGCTCAAATGCCAAGCATGTACGTGATGTAACCCATGTGCACCGTGGGTAGAAGTTACTAGAACTGTGCATTCCGGGACTGGTTGACGATCGGTTGGACGAACACCGTGGTGACTATCCTGCACCTACACCGATAGGTATTGTAATCTTGTGTACTGCACTACCTGCTCAATACCTACCTATTGCTTTTCTGTATTCAGGCAATGTTGGAGTTTTTGGCTTCACTACCCGTCATCTTCATCCATCGCAAACACAAAGTTGGAAGGTAGGTTCCATTGTGGCTCTTATCCCCCACTTCAAGTTACACCTTAGAATCTATTCAGCGGTCATTAATGGATCATTGGCATGCCATTATAACCACCAATACGTCATTTCCAATGGTCGGCAAAGTGTTTGCCATGACCAGGCAGGAACACACAGTCGCAATTCGGCTGTCGTTAACCCTCGGAGAATACTAGAGTGTGATGAACTGACACTTGCTCACAGGCAATGAGAACGATGTGCAGAAGAATCATGTGACCTGTACGTATGATGTCATTGCGAATGACACCAGTCGGTATTCCACAGCAGCCATTGATCACCAAATCAGTGGGCAAACATGCTTTTAAGTGCCCGTGACCGTGTACTTTGTCAATGTATCATGCTATACACAATGCAAGAGATGCTCGATGTTGATAATTATCCTTGTCTGCTGTAGCTTAACCTACGCGGCGGGACGGGAGTTGATCAGAAAACGTACAGCCAGCATCTCGTGCCGTCCGATATCAAGTAAGAGCCTAAAGAAGTGTCTAGACTGAATTTCTAGGTAATTGGCATAGTACTGAGTGTTGGAGTGGAGTCTGGGGTGTAGTTGTGCTTTGTTGTGCACACCTTGAAGGGTTGCAGGAGGCTACAAGCGGTGGCACTTATGATGGGCAGTGTGAATGGTGCTTTCTTCAGCAACCAATACACTTTACATAGATCTGACTATAGAGTAGGATGATGTTTCTGTTCTCGACTTGTACGACTTTTTCTAGGGCAAGTTGAATGGTTGTAATTTCTGTTCTTGTTGTTCTTCCAGTTTCCGGTATCGCAACCGCTCACCGCAATACATGTAAGTCATTTCCACTCTTGGTGTACGGTCAACCTTGCGAGAAAGAACCCTCGATCATTCATGAGAAAAGCTAGCATTGTTATTCGCGAGTTGTCGTTATTCGCGAGGTTTAAACGTATACAGTCCAATGATCACTACAATTACACCGGGTCTGTAGATTGGGTTGTTGGTTGCGAGTTGTTGTTATACCTCAGTACCTGAGGTCGTTATTCACGAGTTGTTGTTATACCTCAGTACCTGATGTCGTTATTCACGAGTTGTTGTTATACCTCAGTACCTGATGTCGTTATTCACGAGTTGTTGTTATACCTCAGTACCTGATGTCGTTATTCACGAGTTGTTGTTATACCTCAGTACCTGAGGTCGTTATTCACGAGTTGTTGTCACGTATACCTCAGTACCTGAGGTCGTTATTCACGAGTTGTTGTTATACCTCAGTACCTGAGGTCGTTATTCACGAGTTGTTGTTATACCTCAGTACCTGAGGTCGTTATTCACGAGTTGTTGTTATACCTCAGTACCTGAGGTCGTTATTCACGAGTTGTTGTTATACTTCAGTACCTGAGGTCGTTATTCACGAGTTGTTGTTATACCTCAGTACCTGATGTCGTTATTCACGAGTTGTTGTTATACCTCAGTACCTGAGGTCGTTATTCACGAGTTGTTGTCACGTATACCTCAGTACCTGAGGTCGTTATTCACGAGTTGTTGTTATACCTCAGTACCTGAGGTCGTTATTCACGAGTTGTTGTTATACCTCAGTACCTGATGTCGTTATTCACGAGTTGTTGTTATACCTCAGTACCTGAGGTCGTTATTCACGAGTTGTTGTTATACCTCAGTACCTGAGGTCGTTATTCACGAGCTGTTGTTATACTTCAGTACCTGATGTCGTTATTCACGAGTTGTTGTTATACCTCAGTACCTGAGGTCGTTATTCACGAGTTGTTGTTGTACACACGGTACACACGGTTGGTATTCATGAGGGTTACTGTATTCTGAAGTGCAACATGACCATGTGTATAGCAGATATTATCTGTACTGGTAGCGGAGACTCTTGAGTGTATCTGTCT